TCACAGTATTTTTAAAATAATACATCTTCCACTGCATCTACATTTAAGCTGACTTCTGGGACTGATCCTTCAGGCTCTATTCATGGTTACTGGGACATCATGTGTGTATGCAGAGACTTATTTTTGCTTTCCTCCTCAGGCTATTTAACATTTTTACGGCATGCTTTGTTTGGACTGCAACTATGCCATTAGCCTTTAAGGTGCTTTCTTCTGCTTATATATTTCTTGAAACACAGTGGAGTAACTTTACAAACTGTACAAGATAAAGCATATAGCTTGGTTGTGTTCCTTTCTGTTTGCAGTTCTAATTTGCTATCAGTTTTGCATCAATTCCTTAGCATATAAATGAAAGATGAATCTGAGGATACAGTGTCCAAATGTGCACCATTCCTCTCTTTCCTCCCTCATACACACTTATTCATTCAGACTCAGGGGAAATCCCGAATGATCTTGTCACAGCATTTACTACAGCTCAATGTACATATAACCACATAATGGAAATTTTGTTCTCCATTTTTGGGAGAATTTTTGAAAAAAAAATCTCAGATTTTCACAGAATGCTAGGAGATATACAGATGCTAGGGGAACAGAAAGAATAGCTTCAGGACCATCCAATCATTTCCTGAAAGAAGATCTTATTATCAAAAGTTTGATAATCAAGTTTAGATTTTATTATTGGCAACCTCCAAAATTCATACTATTTTATGACTCTTCCTTTAGTATTTCCAGTTATCTTTGGCTCTTCTTTGAACAGCTAGGGACTGTAACACCTTTCCAATTCAACAGGGCTGTACTTTCATCACTGTGATTTCAGGATATTTGGTCTCTCACTCAAACAGACCTATTGTCACAGAGCTTTATACGAGTTTTTGTGGTTTTACTGATAACAAATATACTCAGATCTACATCCCAAAGGAGAAAGATATGTCATTAGAAAATGACACATTCAAGAAGAGTTAGATTGCACATAAAGTGGCAGTTACTTTTTTCAGGCATAGAAGAATGTTTAGAACTCTGCTTTTGATAATGTATGCTTTGGTTATGGAAAGCTAACGTTTTCTTCAGGCATACTTGTCTGCAGCATCAAGTAAATGGCTATTAAGTACTTGTACTCACTGTGCGCGTGCCTGCAATTCTGCAGAAGATGGAATTCTTCTTAATGCTCAAGTGAGGCAGTCATTAATGAAAGCAGTATTTCACGATGGAGATTGGTCTGTGCAGAAAATTGGTATTCTAACATAATGTTTCATTCAAAATGAAACATTGACCAGACAAACAGACCAACAAAAGCAGCTGCAACTCAGCTAATGGATTTTTACAATATTAATATTCTTAAGTGTGGTCAGAATCAGGGAGGTAACAATTAGTAGAAACTGTGTTCTTAGAATGTTGTCCTTAGAATGAAGAACTGAGGGGAGAAAAGAACAATTTGATTCCCTATTTCTGACCAGATAGTTTTGATGGTTAAAGCATGCAAGTGTAAGCAAAGGCAGCTCATATTGTTCACTACAGTTTAATATTCCTCTCCTTCATCCTACCAGTAGTACAGAGGTGAGAGCAAATAGCCACACAAAAAAAAGACAACTCAATAACTGTGCTGCACATTGGCCACCCACCACACTTACAGCTTTAATTATCCTGTCTTTACCAACTTTCCAAACAGGAAAGTAATAATTAGGCTTTTATTTGTTAGAAAGGAATTTTCATGTACTTGCTTAAATGAAGTATTTTTGATCTAGATCTTCCTTTATCAAGAAAAGAAGAGTCTTTCTCTGTTTCTTATGCACAAGTCAATTGACACATCTCTCTTCTGCCAGCCTATTACAGAGGGTACACAAGATTTTCATGAAGAGCTGCTTCAGTCAGCAGCAAATTTTTTCATCTTTTTATGATACTGTAATGTATTATTTTTGAATTGTTAATTTAATTTGTCTGCTCTGGAGGAAGTGTAGTGTTTTGTAAAATAAACTGAAACAGCAAACTGTAGTTTACTGCTCACATCCATTTTCATTTTAGGTGTATGTGGTTTAAAACTTCTGAAAAATAAGTAGTCTTCAGATCTGATTCAGCTCTTGCTGCTTCCTGGGAGCCAGCCAGAAGAATCTCTTGGAACTGAAAGAATTGAGAAGCTCAGCTTCCAAGTACTGTAAATGTCCTCAGCTCAATCGTTGTGTGAGCTAATCCAATGGGATTTTACTAGCTTGCCTGTAATTATTGATCAAAATGCTATTGTGATTAGTGATTCCATAGAAAATAGAGGACATGTCCTTAGCTATGTGTACTTTAAGTTACAACACAAATAATTAGTTTTTTGAGTCACTATATCCTTTCAATTCTCATCTTACTATAGAAAAGGTTTTATGATTGTGCTGCATCATATAACCATTCTTTTCTGTAGTATTGTAGTATCTTATGTTAGATATTAGGAGGAAGTTTTTCACACAGAGGGTGGTGAAGCACTGGAACAGGTTGCCCAAGGAGGCTGTGGATCCCCCATCCCTGGAGGCATTCAAGGCTGGATGTGGCTCTGGGCAGCCTGGTCTGCTGGTTGGTGACCCTGCGCATAGCAGGGGGGGTTGAAACCAGATGATCTTTGTGGTCCTTTTGAACCTAGGCCATTCTATGATTCTATGATTGATGAGCTAGCAAAACTGCTGTGTCCAGTGAAAAGAGGACAAGAACTTCAGCTGCCATAAGCAGGACACAGAGTTATTAATGTTTTTGACATGGATGTGGCTTCAGATAAATATACATTTAAAAAAAAATAAAGTCTTGGGAGAGGAAGTAGTGGCATTCCTCTACTTAAAAAAAAATTACACAAATTGGCATGACTGGACTTCAGATGTGTTTTCTTAACTGCCTTTCATACTGTATCTGAACTCCCAGATTTGGTCTTGCAGACTGCCACTGGTAAAGTTGCTTTAGGAATGAAGTTGCCTAGTCATAGAAGAGACCTTGCAGTGTCATTGTTCAAATGATCTCCTGTTACTTCAGTAACAAATCATGTTTTTTTGGTGGTGGTGATGGTTTGTGGGGGCCTTTTGTTGTTGTTGTTGTTTTTTTGTTTTATATATTAATACTTCACAACTTCTGATGAAGAAGCATTGTCATATAAATCAATAAACCCATTCCTTTGTAGGTAAATGTCCACCTTTCATCCCTATCTTCCTTTACAAGAAATAGCTTTAAGGTGTAAATATTTTCAGCCATTTCAGGCCAACAGTGCAATCCTATGCAGTTTTGCTGACATCACTTTAACAGGGATTTATAAAGGACAAGAATAAGCCAGCTTCTGCATTCATCATTTACTCTATTCAGATTCAATGTCTGTAAATCTTTCTTTTTCAGAGAGTGAAAATTTTAGTCTTTTTTTTGTTTGTGGAGAAGAATGTAGAAACATAACGTTTATCATCTGGGATTTGATCCGAACTAACGACGTATATACTGATACATATATTTAGTGCAATGTATCTGTTATTCTGTTTTCTGTATCTTACCACACCTAAGAAAATGCACTTAATGAGAAGAAATAGTAACCTTAGGATCAAGTGTCCCTACCTTACAGGAACAAATGAACACAAATGCCTGGGAGTGAGCTGGTATTACTTAAGCCAAATAGCTATGCTATACTGTCCCAGTTTGTACAACATTTAGGACTCTGAATAAACAAGTTCCAGAACAAAATCAATACAGTAGGAGAAGGTTGTTGCTGACAGAGCTGGAAGATGCTGTGTAAGCATTGCTGTCTGCCACACGCTCCAGGAAACCCTGCTGCAGAGCTGCCAGTTGCTACTGTGATTATAGCAGAGGCAGATGATGTCACTGCTAGAGGGCAAATGAAAGAGCTTGATGTCATCAACGTTAGCATTATTTATGCCAAAGCATCACCTTTAAAAGTCTATTCTTACAGAAGAAACAACTCTTAAGCATTCACTTTTGTTTGCAAATTATAGGCACACCGAAAGCTCCATTGCTTTTCACTCAAATACAATTACAAATGCATTGTTTCTTTAACATACTTTATTTCAGTGCTACAAATTGCTTGGAGACAAGATATTTTCTAATCACAGTCAACAGATTCTGCTGTGCAATTTGTAAATATAGCTCAAAAAATGACAAAAAACCAGGAGCTTGTCTAATGCAATCTTTTACTCCACCTGGCTTCAAACAAGGCAAAGGTTCTTTACTGAAAATGAGATTTGGGACCTAGACTACAAATGTATCACATCCCTATTGTAACTTCATTAATTCTGAAGTTACATTTGAATCTATCCATTACATTCTGTGTAACTTGAATTCACTGGATTCTTTCTAAAAGTAGACAGGCATTTCCAGGTATGACTTTTTGTTAATAAAGCAGGTGTTCCTACAATAAAATTCTGACAGCATCTGCTGTGACTAGAATTACCTCATCTCTTAAAATCCTTTGAAACAGCTTACGAGCTTATGCTTGAGTAACATCGATGACAAAAGATGTCTCAGACACTTTGCATTTTACTTTCTACCTGAATGTGCTTGTTTTTCTAAGAGTCAATGCCAGAAAAACCTGCTCCATTCTGCTTTGTGTGAAGTGCAACTGACTGGCTGTGTGATATCTTAGGAACAGTTCTTGCTGCAGTTTATCAGTAAGTGATACATCTTCATTTGTCAAGGATCTGACTGCTTCTAGAAAAAAAAAAAAAAAAGAACACAATCACACCCAATCTGTCCTTAAGTGAGTGTCAGTAGCTCTGTGGTCATGGTAATAGAGCTCAGCATCTGGTAGTCACTGAGAACAGATATTTAAGAGCCAGGATCCGTTTTGCAGTTTGTGCTGAGCTCTGCTTTACTGAGTCCACTGCTAACAAACCAGCTCAGGTTTGTTTTGTAGAGCTGCTCTAACACGTCTGATTACAATATAAACACTTAAGTTTTTGCACTGAGGATCAGAGCAACTAGTTAAAATCTGAAGCTTGTACATACAAAACATCTGATTTACAGATAGTCTTTTTTTTTTTTTTTTTTTTTTTTTTTGAGTACTTTACCCTGAGTTGTTATACAACAAAAGATCTTTACCATGTAGGAATCAAATCCATCACTTAAAATGGATGAAATGGAAATGTCAGGGATAGTAGTGAAAGCTTTTTACTGAGTGGGAAATATTTCTTCAAAAGGTGAACACCTCTGCTGGAAAAAAAAGTGATGTTTGGAAAGCCCTATAGTCTCACAAGTATTTGTAATTTTGTTTGATTTATGCTATTTAATATCCATACATCTAATTACATCCCATTTGAAATATGTCTGTTGATGTAATACTGAGGGATTCTGTAGATCTGTAGTAGCTGACTCAAGCTTCTATGCTCCAAATTGCAGCACACAGATATATGCTAAAGTCAGTCCAGAAACAGTGCATAAACATAGATGTGATTCTATATGTGACTTAAGCAGCTCCATCTCTCAGCTTTTTCTAGACTTCTGCACCTATGTGGAAGTCATTATCTTGAGCACACAATTGTCAGGCTGAACTTGCTGTTGGTACTTGTCTGTATAAATGTCTTGATTTTTTAAAAGGCTTCTTCATGGTAATGTAATGCACAGTATCCTCTGCAGGACTGCAGGATGACAATCTTGATTCAGCCCTTGAAACATATGACAATAGGCACTATTTCATACAACAATATCAGTGCATATAATCGTAGTTTATGATACTAGAGAGTGATTATGGTAACAGATTCCCTACCACTAGGAGCTTACAATCTAAACAAATAAAATATACTTCATAGAAGAGGTCAATATATATAAAGCAGAATTGTCTTCTTTCTTCCAGTGCATATATTGCTAACTTAAGGGATTTTGAGCAGGACAAGAAGTTACTTATTAAAATAATGAGAAAAGCAATAGCTGGAGGAAGCATGGCTGAGAGAACTAGGATTATATCAGTGTCCCAAAGCAGGACAGGATACAGATCCCTCAGAGGTGTAGGGCAAAGCGTCATCCATAAATGGGAGCTCAGCAAAGTAGGAAGGGAACATTGCCACAGCAAACAGATTTCAGTGTATTTACTTATCTGTATTAGCAAATCTGTGGACACTGACAAAGATCCTGTTGCACTAAGCTTCTTGCTTGATGCTTGTTTTTTGTGACAGCCCCTCCAGATTTCTACAAATTTCTGTGAGAGCTGTAGTAATATAACTCCTTTAAAAACAGGCAGCAAGCTTTTATTAGCTGGAGGCCAAGCTGAAAACCCATGCATGGATTTGCATGAATAAATGCAAAAAACAGTATGTCCAAGTGCTGGTATAAATATTTTTCACACGGTAATTGCAGCTTCTGCTCACTGAAAACATTTTCCTGTGCAAAATCAAAATAGTGGTTTATAAGATGTAAGAAAGGTATTATAATCTGTGATTTTTGAAAAAAGACTCCTTGAGCAGGATAAGGGAGAAGCAGAGGGCAACTCCCACTCCCAAAAAAGCAAAAAAAAAAAAAAAAAAAAAAAATCATAAGCAATAGTACTCCTTCACCCTAGTGGATGGCTTAATAATGTTTGGTAGTAGTGAAAAACCTTAAGCTAGAAACTGAAGTAATTCTTTCTTCCTACCAATTTATATTCTTAATAATCATTTCCTACAGTGTTTCTCACTGGAGATACTCAGTGTTTATGACTGAAACCTCAGCTCTTCAAGTTTGTTGAATATGCTTTGGTGATATATTTGGCCAGAGCAAACTAATGGGTACAAGCCAGAGCAATTTAAAGAACTGCCTGATGTCTAGCTGCTCACTTTTATTTCTTCACCTCTTTTTTAAATGTCTTGGTAATTGTTTCTGCGCCTGCAGCGTCCATAGTGGTAAAGGAGATAGAGTAGAACAAGGTTAAAAATGAATAACAAGCCAACAGCAACATCAAATCCAATATAGATATCTGTAAAGAAAAAAAATAAAGGAGAAGAGTGTTAAGGAGAGACATATGTGTATGTTATTTTAGATACAGTGATAACAGTCTAATGAAAAGTATGTACAATGGAATTATTTTCATAGTTGAACTTTCATATTTGTATCAAGGTCCATGGTCTGCATTACATTTAATTTAAGTTTGAAAAAATACACTTTAATCCTGAAAACACACACACATACAGTTTCCTACGAATGGCAGATCTTATTTCTAGGCTTTCACAGGGCAAGAGTGACAGACATCTTGTATGTAGTTAATGCAAACCAAGACTTTCATCAGGGATCAGCAAAACACTGAATATATGCAGAACGGGAGAAATATATTATGACTAATGGAAAGTGGCAGTTGGTGCCTTGCCCTCCTGGAGATAACATTCAGGAAGGAAGAAAGGAATTTGGCAAAGGTTATCAGCTGTCAGCTGCTGGTAGTTCAAGACAAATAGCAGCTCTGTCTGCATAGATCAACTGTGCTGGATGTGTACAGTAAAGGCTAAGGTATTATAGTACCTGTGCCAGAGATTCAGATGTATAAATCTTACTGTGCATGTGCAAGCCATTTATGTTTTGCATCTACAGAAGCTCTGATGAATCCAATACACATAGGACTCCTTGCATAGCACCTATATGACTTATATTTCTGTTGTATACCTACAGTGATGGGAACTCCCCTTTGGGCCATGTTCTTAGGTAGCTCTGTGTGTGAATGTGCTATTAATAATAATAATAATAATAGCACTGCCTTCACGCTGTCAAACAAGTCCATCCTTTACATCCTTAAAGAAATTTAATTTAATCTGCTTTCTTCATCCATAGTAAAGCTGGTCCACATCTCTTAAAGGGAGATCAACTTATCACATGAAAGATACAAACTCTGTGGCCATTGATACAATTTCTGCTTCCATGTCTTACGCAGAAAATACAGTACTGTTACACTACCTTTCATTCTGTCTTTATTCCCACATTCTTTTGACCAATTTTCGGTTATTATAGGAGAAACTAATTCAGCAAACTTCTCAAGTGGGCAAGAAGAGGTGCATCCTGGCAGAGTTAGTAAGTAAGGATCCACTGAAGAGTCATTCCGATAATGCATTTCAATGCTGTACCGCCTGATTAATGAAATTGAGAAGATTTTTAAAAAACTGTTCTTAAATAAAAGACTTCCAACAGGCAGAATATTGCAAACAGATTCTAGCATCCTACTCTAGAACTCATACTTGAAGAATGGAGGTTTTCTAAGAGACATATGAAAGACAGTTTGCCAACCACACAGATCACCAGTCAGATCAAAAGTTCCTTCTGAAGCCTTTTGTCTCTTCTAAACCCTCTGATTTACATGGGATTTGTGAGATACCTGGGAGATGTTGCTACCATTTGAACTGGTAAGTTTGATTTACCACTTACTTCCAGTTGATAAGGACTGTTTTCTTCTTCTTCTGGTATCTCAAAGCACACAGATATATGCATATCCAACAAATGTGATTTTTCCTGTTTTAATATAACTTTGCACCTGTTTTGGCTACTCAGTGAAATATCAGTTTAAAGCAAATTTGTATCCCTTCAGAGCATTTGGGAGAAAATGATTTGCAGGAAAAGGGAACCAACTTCTAAATACTCCTTATTCTTACATAGATAAGAGGATACTTGCCCACTGTTGTCTTGGTACAGTTCAAAAAACTGGCAAGCAGCATATGGTGGCAGTTTTCCATTGAAAATATTGAGAGCAATCTGGATAGCCCCAATTGTGGTGTCATGCTATTAGGGAAAAAAAATAAACAAAGCCATTATTGAAATTCAGTAAAATGAACTAGCATTTACAGAGAATAACAAGAAAAGACTAGAGAGGGAGTAGATATCCAGATAAAATAAAGCCTGTGTAAATTTTACTTTAAGAATGTATTCAGAGTATTCATTATCAGGCAAAATGTGTTAACAGATTACTTGAGACAGCAGTGGCCATTTCCAAAGAGGTCCCGCAGTATGTATATGACATCTTCTGGCAATAATTTTTGAAGAAGAAATAATGAGGGAAAGCATGATCTGGTCTGAGAAATAAATCCTTTTTTTCCAGGGCATTTTGCTATCCCTTCCCTCAGGAATGAATTTTGGTTCCAAGAACAGATTAAGGCTGTACAAGGTAGTATACTTCATTTCAAGTTAAAATCCAAATCCTTTGAAAGATATTGTACAAAATATTTGCACACAAAGATTGTTTCTCCTCACCTCCATATACACTCAGAACTTTTTCAACTGCTGTTTCTTCTTTTTTGACTTACACAATAAAATCTCAGTTTGGCTTCTATTTTTGACAATCAGTTAACCTCAATCATCCACCTGCAGTCTCTTCCTTTCCCCATTACCTCTTCTCTTTATTGTAGTCCCTCTTCTCTATATTATAGTCTAACTTCTGCATTTTAATTTTTATGCAAGATCTTGAACTTCTTAGAGCAAACAGTTTCAAAAATAAGTGTATATATTGTCCAAAGGCTTTAAAGCAGCAGTGAAAATTCTGGATGCATATTGTACTTTCTTCTCAAAAAGAATATAGAAAATCTAGAAAATACACAGAAAAGGCAGCCAGAAAAAGTTACAGTGTTGTGCAGCTCCTAAATAAGGAAAGATTAAAGCAGTTTGGGAAAGGAAAAATGGAAGAAATGAGACAGAAAATAGTACGTTCATAAGTGAAGCAGAAAAAGTGGACAAAGAAATGTCTGTTCTCTTCTAGCCACAATAGAAATGCTAGGAGGGAGTTAAATCAGTGTTAAGTTTTGAAAAATAAATAAATATGGAAGTACTTTTTTTTTAGCACACAAGTTTAGAAGTCATTGCCACAGGGTGTTGCAGATGCCAAAAGCTAAATGAATTTTAAAAGCAATTAGATAAATTGATGGAAAAATGTCGGTTGAGAGTTATTAAAAGCATAGACAAAAATTCTGACTCAGGAAGTCCATAAACCAACATTTGTTGAGAGGCTGCATCAGGGAAAGCATCACCCCATGCTGGTATTATTCTCACATTCTTCCCTGCTGCTGCCCACTGACAGAGACAGGATAATGTATGAGCTAAGTGGACCTTGATCTGACCCAAATGGCCCTTTTTGTCCTCTAAAACAACATGAAGTGGAATTAAAAATACAAAAAAACAACCCACAAGAAAGAATATTCAGTGTACTATCCTTTTCTAAGAAGAGGAAATGTTTGGAAGCAAAGCTAGAGTTCTGCTGTGTATCAACATCTCTGGATAAGAAGCACTTAATGCAAGATGCAACTTACATAAACTGCACAAAAAATTGCAGGATAAAAGGATATAATACACAGATATCTTTACCACGTACAGTTTGATTGAAACAGGTGTGAGCCTTGTCCTGCTATATTCTGATACTGCCCTGGGTTCAGCTTATTAGTTGAATTGGATTGTATAACTGAACTGTATATATTTACTCATTTAACTTATGTGGAGACTGATTATTCTCTTTCAGAGCTTTGTACTAGTGAAATCATAGAAATATTTATAAAAAGTGAGGATACTTACTGCAGAGTAGACCTCCATTTTTCTTTCTTTTGAAGAATTGGTAGCTTGCTTAATACTATTTAAAATAATATTCACAAGGACACCTTAAAAAGATGGAGGGGAAAGGATGAGGAAAATGAAGATATAACATTTGCATAGAACCAAAAAAAGTAAAGGGTTTTGAGTATCAAACAGAACACATCTACTCAGATCTCATACTCATTTTTTAGCTCATCCCAAGTTCACAACTAGAGCAAAGGCAGGTTAAGTATATCATTCATCATCCAGGCCAACTGAAGTGATTAGATTTACAGAAATCAGCTAGAATGATCCTTAGATTCATGGCCAAAGCTTTGTTCTGCTGAGATCTTCATTGTTTTTTATCTCTTTGGAGTGTTGCAATAATGACAGCTGCACTAGCCACTTCCTCTCTAGATGCTGAAAAAATATTTTTAACTATTTAGTTCCCACAAGTCACTCAGTATCAATTCTTGATTTTATCAAAGATCTTCTGTACTCCTTGTCCAGAGTAGAGACGCTCCAAAGCCAATAGAACAAGGGTAACTGAAATTCTTTGCAGCACAAGTTATACCATCCTAAGGGAAAAGCACATGAACACAAAAAAGAAGTTTTGACCTCATGTTATGGCCAGCTGCCAGCTAGCGAACTTCAGTTCACGTCTGAGCATGTAATTTTTTAATGGCTTGACCCAGTGATTTGTATGTCTAGATAATGAGGTTGCTAATCTAGGTCTAGACTGTAGGGTAGGTGCGTTGCAAAGCATAGCCCCAAACAGTCCAGACTGTGGATCTCAAGCTCACTTGTCCAGTCTTCCTGCTCATGAATACCTGCGAGTCATACACTGAATGCCTGTAACTTACACTGCTGTATAGTCAGAATGTGCGTAGCCTGTGCACCCCAAATCTGGAGCAAAGCAGTAGTGTTAGTTCTTGCAGTAGAGACATAATTTGAATCTCTCATCTTCCACTCTGATCAGACTGTTTTGAAGCAGCTTTACATCAGGTTCTGAGAGAGCTATCAGTGTGCTGCTAAGTTTTCAGCACAATATAAAAACAGTGCATCAAAGAAAAAAAAAGATCAAGAAGCATCTAAAATAAGGAGGAAAGGAACTTACACTTAATCTAAACAAATATCAGAGAAGTAAAGATTGTACCAATGAGGTCTTGAATTTTTTTCCTTGATTTCTTTTCCTCAAAATTTTAATTTCCTAAAATCTGTGGGATAACCAAAGACATTCATGTTTATACCTTTTTTTTTTTTTTTTTTTAATGCCTAACCCATGCAAATCCCCATATTCAGCATATGTTATCACATTTAACGTGGCATCCAATGTCCACAGTTACAAACCAATGTTGTGATCAATAATTTTTCATAAACAAGGTGACAGGATGTTCTATGTTGTTACAGGCACCGTCTCATCCTTTCTGGGAGTGAAGCATTTTTTATTTACCTCCTTGTAGTCGTGATTTCTCTTCTCTTTTATAAACTCCAAATAGTGATAATAAGGCCAATTCTGCAAGTTTCTCCATCTTGTCCACTACATCTTTGGTGGCCCATACAGGTAGAGAATAATTGTGAATACTCTAGTGAGAAAGGAAAGCAATGTTTTTTTATTATATTCCCATCTTTCTATTGCCCAGCCTCACACTACTACATTTGGCCTCTCTGAGGCCGTCCTGCAGATCTTTGTCCATTATGGTTGTTCTCATCAGGATTCCATGAAATACTCTCTGTGGAAATAGGGATCAACCTGAAGTGGATGAACAGCAAGAGGGCAATCATCTGTGTTGAGTAATCTCTTGTGAGGCACCACGTATTATTAATGTAACAGTACTACTTTTTTATTCTGTTAGTGTCTCAAATTGCAAACACATGTCTTACTCTCTTCCTGTCCCCTAACAGTGGCTCTTCAGGGTATAATCTAGCTCCAAATTGTCCCACCTTTCCCATACAGTGGTTCTATCACATCACTGGTCACTTACAGGTAAGTGTCACTCTACTGTCACGTAACAGTGATTGTGTCTTACAGTACACAATTGTCCCATGCCTGTCCCATGTCTGACTCTGTTCACTGCAGCAATCAGTTTTCTACCTTACAGAACAAATTTTTACCTCGTATTTTCAATATGCATGCATTTTGATATTTGCCTTTTAATCGGTTAAAAAAATATATCATTTTCCTGTTAAAAATCAATATGACCCAGCCAGCATGCTCAAAGAAAATACACAGCAACATATTTGAAAAGGAAAAAAAAAAAAGAAGAAAAAAAAAAAAGAAATAAAGAGAGTAGATTTTGGTACCAGTTCCTTATGGTAAAACATCAGATGAAGACAACAGTTTTGAAAGCTATAAGCCATGCTCTTGGAGTATCTTTACCATTGTACTAAATGAGGATTTAGATTCACAGTTTAAAAAATAAGCAAATTCAGGATAGAGGGCAATGCTTTTCAAGGGAACCACATTTGCACTGTTTAACTGAAACATATCTTGGAGTTATTTTCTTCCTATAACACTTATTGCATTGTTATTACCTCACAATACAATGTATCATAGGTATTCCAGAGCTGGAAATTGTCCAGGATTTTAAGATGATTTAGTTCAAGTCCTGTGTTAACTGCCATTGTTTGTAAAAAATCCTGTGGGGAAAAAAAGTGAGTACACGACAAATACTCAGTACATACAGAACATGCATGTATACAGATTCACTAGCATCCAACCTGACAACACACAAATGTTTAATGTAATGTTACACACATGAAATCCTTATAAAGGAATATTCTGGTTGAAGTTTTCATTTTTTAACAATTTTAAGATGCTGATTTCTATTTCAGACACTGGTTTTTGCTCAGCTTTACTATGGATGTCTGGTATTCTTGCTGCTACCTTCTTTTCTTCTTCTGACTGCTCCAGGAGGCTATCTGCATCTCCTCCAGCCTTCAGAAGTAAAGAAGGTGGCACTTAAGACAAAGGAAGATGAAAAATAAAGGGTGAAGGGAAAATGGAAAATTAAGCAACAACAACAACAAAAAAAAGAGGCAAATACTGAGGATGTGGTAGAAAGAAGCTGAGGAGGAAACCAGACTTTCCTTCACCTATTGAAAGGAGGCTGAGGATCTAAGTAATAGGTCCACAGCAGTTCCCAAAAGGATTCTTACTGTTTGTGATACCACAGAAGAATAAAGGGACTGGATAATATTCCTTATTTCTACATTGCCTGTTTCATGCTGATAGATGAGAGAGGATTGCAATGAAGTTTTAATTCATCTGTCTGGCAGGTGAATGAGTCTGCCTAGAGTGGCTGAGCTAGCAGAAATTTAGGTGTAAGCAAAGAAAAATAAAAAATGTTGGGTTTAGCCCAACAAGCATAAGCAGGAAGCCTGAAGTGACTTAGAGAGAATGTCAGGGTAAAGGAAACAAAAGACTCCTGCTTCATTTGTGCAGTGGTGCTATTATGAAGTGCACCAGCACAGCAGTGACACAAATTACCACAATTCAGAGCATTTTCTGTCCGCATAGTTGCATGAGACAGATATGTTATCTGTACATCCACAGTCTTCATCCGCAGCACTGGAATGGGAAATTCTGGATCACTGACTGTGGAGTTTTGTGTTTGGTTAAAAACGTATGTCCATCTTGTGATGGACCTAAAATGCAACTCTGAAAGAAATTTACACAACTCAGTGTTTGCCCGATTGGGCTTGGTTTAGTGCTCTGTTATCATAGAATGATTTGGTCTGAAAGGGACCTTAAAGACCATCTAGTTTCATCCCCATGGACAGACACCTCTCACTAGACCAGGTTACCCAAAGCCCCATCCAACTTGGTCTTGAACTCTTCCAGGGATGGCGTAACTACAGCTTCTCTGGGCAGCCTGTTCCTGTGCCTCATCATCCTCACAGCAAAGAATGTCTTCCTAATGTCTAATCTAAATTTTCTGTTTTAAAGTCCTTTTTCTTATTTTTCATTTCCTCTTCATTTAGTCTTACCATGTATGGTTGTATTCTACTTTGAAATTCACTAGATGTTTGGGTTTCATTCTGAAGTTCATCAAAACGGGGACAGTCACGCAGAGGAAAATGCAGCTTCTGAAAGAAGAGAAGTAAAACTTAAAATAGTTTTAGAACTAATGAACACATCTCTAGTTTCTCTGTTGCTGAGATTTCTGATGTAATATTTGTGATATAAGTTCATGGCCCTGCTACAGCAACTCCGTAACGGTTTGTTTGGGTGCCTTGTTCATGAATTCTTTAACAAAGGAAATGGACTTGTGGCCATGACTGCTGGGTTTCCATCAATTCAACCAATTTTGACAAGAAGCAGTTACACGTGTGTCAGGAGATTGCTTTTGGAAGAGGATCAGAGTCTATAATCAAGAATTTTAAAAAGCTAGCCTTTCCCTCTTAATTTCTGAATCCCAGGAGATGCTGCTTGACTCCACCTACAACTGAGATCTGAATTTTCTCTCAGTCTACACGTGCTGCTTTCAGCTTTTTGGAGATAAGTACTGCATTATGGTAAGCATTTTAAGTAACTACTTAATGGACAGAACTTGAAATATGAGTGACAAATAAATTGTGCTCTTGAAGTATCAAAAAAACATGAGTCTAATAGCTCTGTTCTTGTTTGGGGGCATGGTTTCATATTTAATAAAGCCTAGTCTATGAATTATGAGGTCACCTAATAGTACGTATTTGATCTGAACCACGCATAAATACATATATATCTATTGAACTGTGTGCTGGCAAATATATGCTTTACACCAGTTGCAGAAGCATCTAATCCACATGATACCTAATGTGGTCTGTCAGCAAAAAATTACAGTGAGAAAAATAAACTTGTGCTGAATCAGCAATTTATGCCACATCAGAAGCATTTTTGACCCAGCAGTACAATACAAACTGTGTAATGGAACTTATTTAACACACAGTGGGAAAATTCTCTGTATAGGGGCTCTTAGTAAAAGCCATTAAATTTGAATATCTATTGCCTATGTAGGACTGAAAGAGGAAGAAGGTCTGCTTTGCCATTCGATGAACAATAGCAGACTTTTCATAGAGGGCTTCTCTTTTTGTTTTATAAATATGAGGCTTTGCAGCAGCCGCCAACTGACAGCAGCACACTTTCAGTTGGACACATTTCCATGGGGGCATTTTCTCTGTAATAGCAGCACACTTGAGGTTGAAGGCTCAAAGCTGCAAAATGAAGCTGGGGAATGTTGTTTAATTACACAATAACAAATCTTTCTCTTTCTGTATGACTTAATTATGCCCCTCTGGGTCCTATTAATTAAGCCACTCCTTTTGGCCTCATTAAACAGTGCCCAATGCTGTTGCCTGTCAGGTCTTGGGAGATCTCAGTGGCTGAAAAATAAACTGTGATTAGGTTGTTGCTTTTTTTCTTCAGGATTGTATTTGGCCTCAATTTCCCATTTTGTATGCTTGGGGCTTGAAAACACTGTCAAATGTCTGTCTGGGTTGGAAAAGCAACAAGGTTGTTTTTTTTTTTTTTCAGGTGGTTTGCATAGTTAGCAAGAATTTTGAATTGACTCAGAGAGGTTTCACCACACACTGTGAAACATCAATACCCATTTCTGAAGCAGCTTCAGAAGTGTGGGGGTACCAGACCGTCCTACAGATGAGCTTGCATTCTCCAAACAGGTCATGGCACTGCACTGTCATACCCTTAGACACCCCTAAGGACTATAAGATTTTATATACATAAGGCTCTGGCCATTCTGATGCTTTTACATGTCCTGTTGTGTGAGAACTGCCCCTAGTATTCCTCATTTAAATAATAGTGATAATATTCTTTTTTGTTTAGGAATATAGGCAAATTTCAAGCTTGTATTGTGCCCGATCAATTTTGTGGATTCTCCTTGTAGCTGCTTTTAAGCACAACAACTTTTTTTTCCTTATCACAGGTGCCAGTGACACTAAAATCTAAACCTGAATCAGCAGGAAGACCTGTTTACAGCAAAACTTCTACAAGAAGTTTTTCAGGTGGGACTGTTCTTATTACAAACTGTAAGGGAAATGCTAGTTTCATTAAGTGTTTGTACAGCATAAAAGGACCCTTGTCTGTAATTAGAGTGCCTAAGTGCTACTAGAACAGGAAAGTAATAATTGAGAGGTCATTACAGTGGCTTATGTAAATCCCATTCCTTAAATAAACTAAGAATCAACTTGCTAAGGAGGGGAATTTCATTTAGCTGATTGATATTCAGAAAACCACTTGCTCTCTATGTTGTTTTTGGGCAGCTTCCTTGTAATACTGTCCAAAAATGTCCTTTTCAGGAGAAATGTTGGAGCTTCAAGAAAATGTGTGTGGTTGACAAATCAGGTATTCTGCAACTGCAAAGCGAGGATTGTCATGCAGCTATTACACTTGAGTTATGATATGTGTTTCAGCCAGTAGCTATGGTTGATGTTTTCTATTAGATTGAACTCAAATGTTTGTTGACTATAACAACATAAAAAAAAAAAAAAAGCAACAAAATAAACCCCTCTGAGAAATCCTAAGGCATTATAGGAAGCATCCAGACAATACTCACCCGATCTGTTGATTTTGTTACAACATGAACAGGAATTGGTTGCCAAAGAAGCTCAGGGTTCCAAATTTGACTGCTTGTTGGTGGAAAGAGGCCAGAAAGGTATGATTGGGCACTCATAATGGTGCGGTCATAATCTGTAGTTTGGATATAGAACTAAGGATAAAATGGCAAAGTGTTAATAAATAAATGGCAACAATAAAAACAACAAACAAACAAACAATAATAACGACAACAACAACAAAAAAGAGGAAACTTAACTCATCAATCCTGGCTTCATGTTTTCAGTTCTGTTTTTGCATAGAATCAGAGCAGTGAAACCGTAACACAACTTTCTAAGGCTCTACTGCATTTGCATAAATGAAATTGCCAGTGCATCTTTACTTTGAAATCTAATCTTCCAACTGACTAAAAAGAACAAGAAAATATGTTTTAAAAGTATGAAGCTTTCCATTTTCTGACATTCAGGGTTACACTGATGTGATCCATCTGCTGTACCTCAAGGATGAAGGTACTTTTAATCACAGTGGATAATAAAACTTCTCCTGGAGGCATGGCAAATCTATTGTCTTTTATACTTTCTCATCATTGCATCCCTCAGACACTGACCAAAACGGTAGTGTTATTTCCCCTCCATGGGTCTGTGCTATGTGACATGCACATTCTAACAACTGTGAGACTTCTTGTTCACATGATGACACATGTGAACGTGGCTCATCACATTACTGGACATATATTCATCTTTAAGCAGAGTAGAAAAATATTAGGTCACTATGGATAAATATCCAATTTATTAGATGGAGTGGAGCTGTTCAGGCCTGGAAAACTGGACGGTGGAAGACCCAAACTGAATGTAGAAGCCTAAAGTTAAAGTCTTGACTCCATTTTTTTACCTTGACATAAAGTCTGACTTTCAAAGGAGTTCTTCTATTACCTGGATTTTGCATTAATGAAAGAAATATGATGATGTCCTTTTTATACAGAGTCCAATGTTCTGCTATGTCAGATAATTGTCCTACAGACACTTCTGCTTTATACCTCTTTCCGGTTGTATGTGCTGTTCAAAAAGTTTGAATATCTTTTCCTTGTGTACTGTCCAAGTTCAAAGAGCTGCTGCATTCCAGTCTGTGAGGCAAGCATACAGATGACAGTTAGATTAATGTGACTGGAGAATGTTAAATACGTTTATTTTATATTTTCTTTTTGATCTTCAGCAATTTCTTTCTATGTTATTGTTAATTACTTGTATAACATACTGTATATTTTGTGGGTGAAAAAAATACACATTCTGAGATTTTAAGACTCCAACATTATTGCGGAACAGGCAATGAATCTGATTCTGTTCAAACTACTGTTTTCACAATGCTGTAGCTCTGTAAATGCTCCTGGAGATATTAATAATCAACACTGCAAAGAATATGTCTGTTAATGACATCTGAAAAAGGAAGGTCGATAAACTTGTATTCATTATTGTCCTTGCTATGCTATTTGATCAACCTGATTAATTTGTGGTTTACTATACGTGTCTTCAATAATTGTTTTCCCTTTGGTTTGGTACAATTGCAGCTGTCTTCCACTGCACGCTCTCTTTTCTATTATTCATTTCAAATGCTCTGAGCAGAAACTTTAACTTTTAGCTGTCAGAGAAGTACATTCTTACTATTGTTGATAAAAAGACAATTCAATAGAAAAAAAGCTCCCCCTAAAATCTATGCCAAAGCAGCAACTTTTTAAAATTTTTTATTATATTATAAGCTACTTGCAGCAAGATCATAACATGTTCTCTGACTGCCTGAATTTTATCAATCTTTCAAGCTTCCCTTCAACTAATAAATGCTGAATTGTCTCTGATTCATGCTTCCGCATCATGATGTCGTATTGCTACAGAATGCATTGGCCTCTCTTTGCTCCAGATTTGCATATGCCAAATACAGTTAAAGAGCTAAGGCTTGACGTTAAGTAGATTCAGCATATCCTACTGAAGCTCTGGGCTGAAAGCAGTCTCATTAGGAGACACACTGTCCCCAGAAGCAGCTTTCTCCTACAAGACTTGCCTTTTTTTGTGGGTAGGTGAGTGCTAGTAAAATTTAGGGTTCTGAAGGAGCTGGCTGAGGTGGTTGCCGAGCCACTCTCCATCATATTTGAAAAGTAGTGGCTGTCAGGTGAGGTCTCCAATGACTGGAGGAAGGGTCATTTACAAGAAAGGGAGCAAGGAGGACCCCAGGAACTACAGGCTGGTGAGTCTCATCTCTGTGCCTGGGAAGATCATGGAACAGATCATCCTGGATGACATGCTTGATCATATGAGTAATGGGCGTGTGATCTGAGACAGCCAGCAAGGCTTCACCAGAGGAAGGTCATGCTTGACCAATCTGGTGGCCTTTTATGATGGAGTGGCGGCATTGGTGAACAGGGAGAAGGCGACCGATGTCATTTACCTGGACTTGAGCAAGGCCTTAGACATGGTCCCCCACCACATCCTTATCTCCAAATTGGAGGAATGTGGATTTGATGGGTAGACCACTTGATGGATAAGAAACTGGTTGAAAGGCTGCAGATAGAGGGTGGTGATCAATGGCTCTATGTCCAGGTGGAAGCCGGTAACGAGCGGCGTCCCCCAGGGGTCTGTCTTGGGACTGGTCCTCTTTAACATCTTTATCAATGACATCAATGATGGAATCAAGTGCACCCTCAGCAAGTTTGCTGATGACACCAAGCTGAATGGTGCGGTCAACACGGTAGAAGGAAGGGATGCCATTCAGAGAGACCTTGACAGGCTGGAAAGGTGGGCCCCGGTGAACCTGATGAGGTTCAACATGGCAAAGTGCAGAGTTTTGCACTTGGGCCGGAGGAATCCCAGGCATCCATATAGACTGGAAGGAGTGGTCCTTGAGAGCAGCCCTGTGGAGAAGGACCTGGGGGTCTTGATAGATGAAAAACTTAACATGAGCCAGCAGTGTGCCCTTGCGGCTCGGAAGGCAAATGGTATCCTGGGCTCCATCAAAAGAGGGGTGGCCAGCAGGGACAGGGAGATGATTGGTTTCCCTCTACTCTGCTCTTGTGAGACCCCATCTGGAGTAGTGTGTCCAAATCTGAAGCCCCGAGTACAAGAAAGACAGGGAGCTGTTGGAGAGGGTCCAGAGGAGAGCCACAAAGATGATCAGGGGGCTGGAGCACCTCCCCTATGAAGACAAGCTGAGGGAGCTGGGCTTGTTCAGCCTGGAGAAAAGGCTGTGGGGTGACCTCATTGCAGCATTTCAATACGTAAAGGGAGCCTTTACTTATAATTACCCTTTTACAGGAGGGGAATCAACTCTTTGAAAGGGCTGATAACAGCAGGACAAGGGGAAATGGTTTTAAGTTGAGGGAGGGGAGATTTAGGTTGGATGTCAGGGGGAAATTCTTTACAGAGAAAGTGGTGAGGTGCTGGAACAGGCTGCCCAGAGAGGTTGTGGATGCCCCGTCCCTGGAGATGCTGAAGGCCAGGCTGGATGGGGCCCTGGGCAGCCTGGTCTGGTATTAAATGGGGAGGTTGGTGGTCCTGCATGTGGCAGGGGGGTTGGAGATTCATGATCCTTGAGGTCCCTTCCAACCCTGGCAAATTCTGTGAAATTATGAAATATGGATTAATCACTTGACCTAGTGTGCACGTATAATTAATTTATCCTAATATAGATTCCAGTGTTTAATGGTCATTAGAACTTCAGTAATGTTAGACCACGGATAATCTTTAAGTTTGTTGTTTGTTTGAAGGCAGGCACACTATCAGGAAGTGGTTGTTTCTAAGAAGGTATTTATGTAGCTGTGATGAACAAGACTTCAGTTTAACAGAAGCTGGATGAATAATATTCCACAAACATTTATGAATTACTGAGGATTGCTAATAGCAACTATCAGTATTTGGGATTTGCTGATGTTTGCAGAATACACATCAATATCTGGCCACTTTCTATTTTTGTAGCATATGTAAGTGCTACTAATAAAATTAACATACCTTGGTAAGTTGTCCAAATCCTTGGGGCCATTCACTTTCTTTGTGTAAATCAGTTGGAAAGTTTACCACAGGTGATCGGTCACCATGTCGGAAAACCTAATAAAATTCATGTTAACAAAGCAAATTAATTACTGCTAGCATTCCATTCTTCCCTGGCTAGAGGACAATCATACAATTTTACTTCCAGTGCCATGTTTCAAATACAAATATTAGAAAGTAAGCAGCAACCTAGTCAAATAGGATTAGAGTACGTTCTTTACACAGAAAAATAGATACTCTATATAGGAGTTCAGGGTGCATGATCCTGATTATTCTTTCATTTAGAACTTAGAAATCTAATGAGCCAAAAAAAAAATGCCAATGCCCAGATTACATTCATAGCTAGGCAGTTATACAAGAAGCTGGATTGAATTTTGGACACTTGACCACTCCAAATTTAAAAACAGTTCCTGATGTGCTCATATGAGGATTTAATTACTTTGGCACCACACTTGAAATTTTAGTGACTACTCTTTTTCATAGTGGTATCTTCCAGGCACACTGTCTTAAGTTTAATTTCATGCTCATACCATAATGCAAAGAAATAAAAGTTTATCAGTTACACTGTTCTTACTTAATATTTTTTGCTATTTTTACATGTATTTATGAGAATATTTAAGGAAGTATCTAGAAATTTCTCTGTTAACTTCAGTGACAGCAAATAGTTTGGTTAACTGGACACTCAACATGGTGAATATTAGTTTGATATTTGCAGTCATATGATTTGTACATCAAGAAACTTTAAGCGAGCCTTTTAGTATCTTTCTTCCACCATACAAAGAAAGTACCAACTCCAGATTAAATAGTTCTGAAAACGTCTGTCTTACTCTCCCTAAATATGCCATGTACAGACTTAAAAAATGAACTCCACAGAAGTTTCATCTGGAAGGAAACACTGGAATACAAATTCATAGGGTTCCAGACAATCTTCCAGCATGCTGGTCCAAACTTGAAACTGTTACCTTTACTTGTATCTATGTTCAAATAACCAAATTAATTCCTGATTTTGGAAAAAAAAAAAAAAAAAAGTCAATGTGGAAGTGTGGTATATCTGTTCATAAAGTGTCATTTGTTCCATAATAACACACTGATATAGTGATATATAACTTGATTATGATTAGTTCTTCCCATTGCCTAACTAAGCCACATCATTCTACCCACATATCAGAGAGATGAGTTTGTTTGCCACTCCCACATTTGCTAGTTGTACTTCACTGAAAATGTGGTCAACCTGAAATAAATATTGTTCATTAAATCAAGAAGTCATTTTTTTACTAGCATCAACAAAATATTTAATTAATAATGAATTGCTGAGTGTCAACAAAAAGATAATTCTGAGTTCAAGTATAGCAAAATAGTTCATAAAATATTCTTAAACATTTTATTTTTATCTCTGTATGCAATTTTTAATTGTGTACATGCTTTTTTTTACTGGTCTGGAATCTCAGCTCATTTTCTGTAATCATTTCTTGCTGAACTTGTAGAAAACAGCAGAATAGGCAAAGAGGTACAGTCTCTGGTGCTCGATTCAGTTGGAGACAAGAGAAATGAGTGAGGGGACTTTTGTGTTCGCGCTTATTTCTTTAGTGTTTTGACATGTAGACATACTACATTGCCATGTAGGATTAATTAGCTTTTCTGAACAACCTGATGTTTCTGTAAAGAATGAAGGTTAAATTCCCAATTAAAATGTAGCTGTGTACTTTCTTGTTAAATTACCCAACTTCACAGAAAATCATTTTTATGAGTAATTGACAGTTATTCAAACTGACATGATTAGATTTCTATTTTTAGGTAATATATAGTAACAAATCAAAACCTGGCTAAGAAGTAAGCCTTTCTCATTAGTTTAAAAATGTGTTAGATTTGAAATACTAGTTTATGATGCTTTATACTTAATATGCAACAAAACCTTCTGTGTATATTTCACTGTCACAACCTAAAACCCCTAAAAACATTCAATATGCCAGAACAAAGTAGCATTTTACCTGATCAGAGGTGAGAAGGCAAAAACAAAGATCCAAATATATGATATAAAGAGACAGACCTGGGTGTCCTGGTGGGCAACAGGTTGGCCACGAGTGTGCCCTGGCAGCCAAGAAGGCCAATGATATCCTGGGGTGCATTAAAAAGAGCATGGCCAGCAGGTCGAGGGGGGTGATCCTCCCCCTCTACTCTGTCCTGGTGAGGCCACATTTAGACTACAGTGTCCAGTTCTGCGCTCCTTAGTTCAAAAGAGACTCCTAAGAGGAGTCCAGTGGAGAGCCATATAGATGATAAAGGTCATGGAGCATCTCCCATAAAAGGAAAGACTGAGTAACCTGGGTCTGTTTAGTCTGGACAATAGACTTGAGGGGGGATCTGATAAATGCTTACAAATTTTTATAAAACCTCTAAAGGGAGCTGGGAGGCAAATGGATGAGTCCAGACTCTTCTTGGTGGTGTGTAGTGATAGGACAAGGAGCAATGGCCTAAAACTTGAACACAGGAATTTCTGCACTAACATTCAGAAGAACTTCTTTTACTTCTTTGCCCTCTTTAAGGGTGACAGAGCACCGAAATAGGCTGCCCAGAGAAGTTGTGGAGTCTCCTTCTATGGAGATATTCAAGACCCATCTGCACACACAGCTGTGCAACCTATTGTAGGGAACCTGCTTCAGCAGGGGGTTGGAGTCCACCATCTCTTAAGGTCCCTTCCAACCCCCGCAACTGTGATTATGTGATTTTGTGAGTATATGAGCATATGTGGGAGCTGGAAATCTAAAGAAAAATATTTTTTTTTCTCTTTTTAACATTTAGAAATGGAAAGAGTGGGAACTGTTTTCTTCAAAAAGCAGCACAGTTTCTTTAAGTTTACTCAAAAGAGAAAAAAGTTCATTTCCTTGTTTGCATTTTTGCATCTGCATTGTATAGTGACATGTAAATATGATATTAACACTAAGCTGGAAGTAAAAAGAAAGAAACAAAAACTACTGCTAAGACCAGAATCCTGTTTTTAGGAATCGAAAGACAAAGCTTCTCAGACAGCTGATTTTTGTTTGTGTTCAGACTTTTTTCTTGCTTGCTGCTTCTAAAAATGACCTTGCTTCTGTTATGATTGAAAATGAAATAATGACATCATCAGCTACCACTCAACCTAAAAGGCCAACTCAATCATTAATATTCAGCTATGTTTCAGGAAACTTTTTTTTTTTTTTTTTTTAACTTGGGACATTTTGTCTTCTTTGTTAGACTACTTGATGCTGTTAAGAAAAAAATATCCCTCCAATCTTGCCCTGATCATCAATATGTATTTCTCAACACTCTGCATTTTGCTAGAAAGGAACTGATCATTCCAATTACTTTAAAAATATTGGTGTGCTGCAGAATTTGTTACTCTTGGGTTACAGATTGCCTTCCTGACCTGTCAGAGGACGTGCAACAAGGCAGGATTAGAGAAAAGGAAGAAGGAGACATCATAAAATGAGAAAACACAAACAAGAAGGAAAGGAACACAAGGAGAATACACATGAAAAGTGGAAAGCACACCTCCTGTGTGTGTTCAGTTCAGCATCTCTATATGTCACTTTATATGACCTCAGACAGTTCTCAAAATCATCAGATGCAGAGTTACCAATTTCCTCTCCTTCAGTACCAGTGCAGCTTGAAGCTGATTTGATGTTTGGGTTCTCCCATTCTTTATCACAGCCCAGTGAGAGTGAACACTTCAGATCAAAATGGCCACATGACTCAGACTTTGGCCACCGCTTGCTCCTATTGTTGTCAGATGAAAGATTGTGTCAAAGAAAAGCAAAGGTAGTTGAGGGGTAAGCTGAGAATATGGCACGTATATCTGCATAAAACATCTTCATTCAAAAATGTCATTAATTGCAGTGCACAATGTGGCACAATGGCACCTCACATGGACATTTTTAATGACAGACTCAACTTTAAACAAGATTTCTTATATTGCAGCTAGGAATAAGAAGGAAAAGAACAGGAGATCTGTGGAACCAGTCATGCTGCCAGTCCGTCATAGATGCAGAAACACTGAGCATGTTCAGTCAAGATTTCAAATGGCTTGTGTTGATTAGATAGATAACATCCTTAGTCAGCACATCCTGTTCTGAGGAAAGGCATGATGAAATCACATTACCTCCAAAACCACACCTTTTTGTGTAAATGATAGCTGAAATGAGTGCCTGTCTGGAAGCATAAGTTACAGATCAGAACTTCTTTACAGAGAGACAATGGATCAGTGTTGCATTTCTTCTTGGATGCCTGATGGTCCTAGATAGTTCCTATTTCCTTCCCTTACGTCCAAGTTAGTGCCTAAGAATTATGGTTAGGGTTAGTATCTACACATGAGGAAATCTGAAACAGCATTTTGACAAATTGGCTGGTATTACAGCTTTTCACCACAAAGCACTTGTGGCTAATAATTAAAACACACAAAATCAGCATAAAGATGGAAGATACGAGGACAGAGCAATTCAGCACAAATCTGGAAGTGAGCAAAAGGGAATTTGTTTGGTTCCACCCTCCCTAGCAGATGTGTTTTATGTTGTGCAATTCTGCTAAGAAAGTTCTTAAAAGTCATTATGACACTTTTTCACAATGCAATAATACTCTCAGGTGACTACATAGCAACTTACAGCGAATACAGCTGGAAAACGGCCACTGAATTAACTCAGAAAGGTGTAGACTTACATCGAACTGTAGCCTGACTGTCATTTTATCCCATTATGTCAGTGAAATGTTCTGGGGCTAATTTCTATTAATTTCCCTTTCTGTTTCTGCTAGTAATTCTGATCACATGTGAATTCAATCTGTGAATTTAGATGGCAAAATTCTATTGAACAATCAGAAACCGTGCCTTGAGAAAGGAGGTATATACTGATAAAAAGACTGAATCTATTGTAACTTTTCAGGTAGATTGGTCAGTGAAGAAAAAGTGTCAAAGATAAAAGAAAGACATTTAAAACTAAATATACAAATTTTAACATTAGTTCTGATAATTTACTTCATAAATAGATACAGTGCTATCTTTTTCTTTCTTTCTTTCTTTCTTTTTCTCTTTTAGGTTGGTGGAGAAGATAGCTGCACAAGTGTGATAAAGAAGCTGATTTAGGATAGGAAGGGTCTTATCTCCATAATGGTAAGCCTTTCCTGTAACTACTTTTTCTCCAGTACCATTGCTTGTTAGCGCACAGTAACAGCTGCAATTCAGTAGACGCCTCATTCTCTTCAGAGAGTTAATTCTCCAAAGCATGCTGACAGCCTGAATTGACCCCTGCATCTTGCTAGTTCTCCCTTTCACCACTGAAACATTTAAGGATATAGCTATATACAGAATGTTACTGGAATTAGTTAGAGTTCAGTCCTTGCCTCCTTTAGGGTCTGATACAGCAATAAGGCTCAGCAGGACTAGAAACTGGTTTTTCTGGTGCAGTCTGGCCTCTTTCCAAGTGGCACATCTACATAATCCAGCCAATACAGAAGGGTGGAAGAACATCTTGAAAGTAAAATTCCTATTTATATATGTAAATTCCAATCCCCAAAACTTTTTGTTGAAAATACCACTTTAAACTAACTATTCTTTATCAGTATACTCTTCTCATTATAAAAGAAAGCCCCAAACAATTAGAATGAAAAGGGTTGTGATGCAACCCTCACCATCCAAAATATTTTATTGAATTAATCTCTCATTTACTTTAGCTATGGGGGAAACTGATGGTGAACTACTGTCCAGTTACTTTAAAAAGAACAGCGAACCAGCAAAATATGATTACAGTCTGGTTTCAAAATAACTACAATAAATGCAACACCCATTTCAGATCTCTACAGAAAATGCCCTTTTCTGTTTCTTAGTACACTACTATCCTGATTCAGTTGTTCTGAGGTGGCAAATGCTTCCATTTTTATGGTGACTTCTATTTTGCAATTTCAGAGCACCTTATACCATCAAAAGCTTCAGCTTCCAAGCACAAAGAAGGTGGCCACAATTGCCAGGTCTGACTATGCAACAGGTAAACTAGACTTAAGATCTCTGTGCCTCCGTGCACTATGCCTCTACCACAAAGCGACATGGTTTATTTATTCTGAAAAAATAACTAGTAATTAGGACATGAAAATTCTTATAGCTAGAGGCATTCTTATCTTAAGAAGTCTTTAAACTTAGTAAGAAAAAAAAAAAAGTTGTATTTTTAAGTCTAAAGAGACGCTAAAGAACTGCACACCTTGTTTGACTTGACAGATATACCAAATTCCCTGCATATCCCACAATTAAATAGAAAACAAATCTACTCACTGCAACCACGAACTTCAGTTCTCTTTCTGCAGTTGCCAGCTGAAGCAAAATGAAGGTAAGATGAAAAGCAAAACATAGAATCCGAGATGGGTTGGGCAGGCATATCACTCCCATCCTGGCAGCAGATGAAAAAAGTACCTGGAGCTCCTGCAGCTGCTTGGGCTAAACAGCCAGGATGGGAGGCTGGACTTCAAAAGGGGTGGTACTGTGGCTGGTGAATTTCAAATCCAGGAGGAATGTTGTGTGACTACGCAACAAACCCCATCACTCTTTGTTTTCAAATTACTATTTACATTCCATTTAATCAAGTCATAATTCATTTCCATTTTGTCTGTGACGTTTTTCTCTTTTGGAGTTTATGGATGAGGCTGAAATATGAGGAGTTGCTAGGCATCTATAATGTTCTAACCTACCTGTTCTATTTCTACTTCTTAGGGCTTTGAATTTTTCCAGATGATAGCACAGCCACAAGGGTAAACTCAGAACCAAGAGCCAGGCAACACTGTTTTTTCTGTCCAGTTAATCTTCTTTTCAACTTCCCTACCTACCTTTTTTCTCTCCTCATCTACGTTGTCTCCACAAAATCAAAATTATTATTTTAAAGGAGACTTCATCTATCACATAAATAGTTAAGTAAGCCTTACAGCAAGTACATTCTTCAAGCTGTTTCCTGGGCAGTTTATTTGCTCTTCAAGTGTGTTATTTTTCTTTTCCAATGGAGTGTATCTATACTTTGGCTTTTGTAATTCATTATGCCAAATTCTTTTTTGGCCCCAATTCCCAAAGAAATTTCTTCTGAGCAGGCCCTGGAGCTCACATTTTTATTGTTACTAATTTAAGAACACTGTTTTTGACACTCAGTGGCTTTAAGCAGATTGCTCAGCTTGTCTCTCCTGAATTCCTCTCTATAAAATAAGGCTAAGAATGACATTATTTCTAGTCATAAAGCTTTTTGAAGCAAACAAACTACAGTTTGTAGAGACCTCTAAATAGAGTTCCTTAAATGTTAAAAGTTAAGATCATCCATGTATTGTCTGAGTCATACCATTCCTTTCATTCTCAAATCTGTCTCATCTTCTGTTGAGCTCTCTGCAGTAATATTTTCTTTTCAACAGGTACTTTAGCATTTACCAGAAATTCTGTCCATAGGGCCCTAAACTACACTAAACCTCAAGTGATCTCTTCTCTGAACTGTGTGAATGCCTTAAGAGTCCATTTCCCCTGATGGAAGGGAGGAGGACCACAGCTTCCAGACTTCCTCATCTCCTTCCCTTTATCTGTACCCAGTAATCAGCACTCACTTGAACTTCTCTTTCCCTTCACTGTTTTCTCCTTCTTGTCTTTGGTCTCTCCTGGTGTGATGGTGCCTATGTAGGAGATACAAGAAAGTCATTGATACATAAAGATACCTATTACTTTACCTTTCTGAAAATAAATGTAAGATGATCACCTACAGTACTATTTAAGAATGCCAGTCAAAAAAGACATTTTCTTCAGAATATTTTAGGACTACTCAAAATTCAAGAAAGGATGCCTTAATTTTTTAATCTGTATAGATTTTTCAGTAGGTGGTTCCTAAACACTTTGGATCAAGGACTGCTTGGTTTTCAAAGTTTTTCTCATTATAAACCCTTACCAGGAAATTCATAACTCATGAGTTTCATAAGGTTTACTGTTTCATTGTGTTCTTGTTATGAGTGACTGTGGCTAATGAAGATGAGGAGCCATAACCCGAGAATCTTATTATTACAGAACCCATATGGTAGCTTCACTTGAGAAATAAATATTCTTTGTGGTGTTGGATGGCATCATTTAGGAAAGCTTAACAATACAGAATGGCTGTATTTTGTAAAAAGGCTTTGCTAACAATTCTTTCAAAATGACATTTCAACCTGAAGTCAAGCATATGATAAAGTTTTACTTTGTGTGGCATCATTCTTCCTTTTAGCCATTTTATTTTGCTAATGGATGTATTAGTAGAAATATATCCAGAAAACGGGCACCATAACCTAAAAAAATCGTTATGCATTGCAAAATGAAAAAAATAGCCTCTTTCCTGTGCAGTTTCTAAGTATGTATTTCATTTGTAAATTTAGTTACTTGTCTTGTATTTTAATTCCAGTTTGGGATAAAGGCAGACTTCCATTTTTACTGTGCTTTTGACAGCTGTAAACTTGTCATACTTTGCAGCAACTAAATCCTTTTTTTTTTTTTTTTTTTTTTTTTTAAGGAAAAGTTGCTTCAAAATAAAATTTTAAAAAATTATTCTGAAGTTAGTCATTAAAATTGTCCAAGCATCATTACGTAAATGGACTCAAACTATTTGTATAATCTATATGCTAATTTGGCTCCATGGCATATATTGTAATTATTAAAGTATGGCATTTAGCAGAATTAGCTTGTGCACAATTTGTCTATTTTAAAAGCACGTACCTGTCTTGAAGGCTTGCTGAAGCATGGCTGGAGTGGCTTTGAAGCAGACTGGTTGCAAAAGAACTCACTCTTTAATGTATGGAAGGGTAACCTTAGCTAACTGCTAGCAGTGTTAGCACAGCCCAGGCATGCACTAGGTGGAAGTTGTTGCACTGAAGACAGTCAGAGATGAAACTGCTGCCTGCATCCAGGGATCAGTATATGTTAGAAATTTATTTTTTCTCCACATAAATTGAAATGCTCAAGGCATGTTTACTAGGTCATGCAGCAGGGAAGAAAACATGGTCCAATGATGTAATGAAAAAGCAGGACATTCTGTTGTAGTTCTGCAAGTAGCTGGCACAGCTTGGATGCACATCTGTCACCGAAGGGAACTGCTGGAGCCAGGCCACATCTCTATGGTCCCCTATCCCAGGACAAAACTGTGTGACAGAAGAAAGGTCTTTACATGGATCTGAAAGTTTTGAGAGGTGGGTTTGGATGAGGAAGGGGAGGAGGAACTACAAACAAACTGTAGGCCAAAGAGAATAATGAAGAATGTCTCAGTTGTGTGAATGTTGCATTCTCTGCTTGTTCCAGTCTGGGAAGCCAGCAGAAAGGTTACCCTTGCCTTTGGTGGGAAAAGGATGAGTCCCCCTTTCTAGCTCTTGAACTTCCACTCAAAAATATCTGGCAAATAAAACAATGAAAACAACTTAGGCTGACACAGCTTCAGAATAATAAGAAGAAATAGGAACAAGTACAGAAGGTGCCTAAAATTTGGTTTTATAATCCAAGGCTATGATCTTGTAAGTATGGGGTCTTACATTTTCCTCTCTAATTGGTTTTCTTTTGCTTTTTAAAAAATATTATTGTTGTTAAAGGAGGTGTGATGGTCAGTTTTGGCCAGGTGTGTTGGCTTTGCAATGAACCTTTCAGAGAGTTTATACTAACTCTCCAATGAGAATGGCCAGATCTGGGAAGGCTCTCTGCCAGTGTCTACTATGGACATTGAGGCAACATGGAAAAAAAAAAACAACTTGATCTTCTTTGCATTGAGAAGCAGCTTCAGCTGGCTGTCTCATTCTGTTCAAAAATGTTTTTACCCTTGTTTACTTGCTGCATCTAAAAGAATATAAGAGATGTTGCCTTTTTTTTCACTAGAGGCAGTCATTTATTTTTATTTGTATTTTTGAACCTGTTTGCTATGAAATCTAACTACAGTTCTTCTTCCTAAACTGCTTCGTGTGGAGGGTTAGAAAGCACAGGAATTGTTGCTTGGGCCCTGCTGAGCAGAGAGTGGGCTTTAACAGTGAGAATTCTGAAACTTAAGATTCTTGTTAGAGGGAAAAGAGACCTTTTTATTTTTTTGATTCTTTTGTAGCTTATGTAGTAGCAGTTATCTGCTTCTGCCGTAGTTCAAGAGGGACATACATTTTATGGGCTTATCCTGCATTTTCAAAGTCAGGTCCAAGGAAAAGAATGGCAAAATTCTTTGTACTTTATTTTCATCTGTTACTCTCTTTCTCTTTGAAGTGACCTGTGGGCATTAAGCTTCATATATCCTCTGTAAGAAATTAAAAACAAACCTAGTTTTTCAAGCAAAGACATGTCCACTATTTTCGAAAGTTACCTGCATCTGATGGTTCTAATCCAGTGTTTTTGAAATAGCAGTATTAGAAAATAAAACAAGTGAATTATTGCCCAGCACATTCTGCATATTTTAACTAGCACTAAGCTGCAGAGTCTTTTGTGTTGTTAGTAGGATCTTTCTGTTAACATCAAGAACAGCATGGATTGACAAAATTCTCTGAAGCACAGACTTTATATTATCAGAGCAGAGTACATTATCAAGGTAACAGAACAAAAGTAAGGTGTTTGTAAAGCTGTTTGAAATCACAAATTATTTTTCTTTCAAAGCTGACACTTAGCCTTGCTATCTTTTTGGAAAAAGACACAATGACTCAGTATGTGAAAGCCATATTGGGTCAACAAATTGCCTGCCATGTCTTTATGACAGCCAGACTGATTGTTTGTAGGCTGCTTTTAGGTGTAACCTCATGGTCCATTATTTCCATAACTCTCTCCTTCCTTCTATATACAGGTGTAATATTTGTGTATAAATACAAAGAAAAAAAACACAAACTACTCACCCCGCTCCCTGCACACAAAGCAAGACAAGTATTCACTAAGTAAACAGCCATTATTGTTATTTTTGTAGCTTCTAAGATCTGTTTGTGTAAAATAATTATTTCTTGAATAGTGTAAAGTATGAGGAAACTGGAATGATTCCCCAGTTGCTGGTTCCTTTTGGAGCACTGCCTCCCTCACCAGTTCTGGAAGTTATCCCAGTCTTCAAAAGGGAACAACACTCCTTCAGAAGTATTTTCCAGTTTTGCTCTATGTTAAGGCTATAGCCCTTCAAAGCACTTTAATTTACATTATGTTCTTGAATTAGTCCTGTCAGATCACTTTGCAATGAATAAACTCAGAAAAAATACTCAATTTTACAATACATTTGGGTTTCATACTTTATAAAAGAGAGCCACTGTTGAGGAAGGGTAAGTTGCTGCTTTCTGTAATTTTGCTTTGCTGTACTGATGAATGGTTTTTTTTGCTTTTTTTTTTTTTTTTTTTTCTGATAGAGATCAGGAGACTGTTGTTCATAATGATGGAAGATAATGAGAAATTTCAGACTGTAGTATCATCACAGTGTGGGAGGAACTGTTTTGAAAGCTAATCACGCTGAATTTTCTGGAGGCAACACCTAAAGGTAAGACAAAATGAGAGAATCTTTCTTAGCATATAACCTTGTTCTCAGAAGACATGCCAAATATATCACTACAACTTGAAGAAGCAGGTAGGTCATACTAAGTACAGAAGAACTGACAGTTTTGCTTTCATTTGGATGGAAATAGGATGGAAGTAGGAAAAGTCTTTTGAAATTGTGAGCTGATCCACACTGAAAATTTCCAGACAAATGAGTGAGAAATGCTTTATCTCCTCCACAAATATATTGAGCAGTCTTCACTTCCTGTGTTCCATGCTGTAGTCATCATCATGTGGAAGAACTTGGCTCTGATTTATACCACTCAAACATTGCTACTATCCTCTGGTGTGACCTGTATTAGCAATGCTTTCCTAATCCCTGTATTTCCCTATACTGGGGTCATAAATCATCTCAATGAACAGTCAATTAGGCATATTTTGGAAACAACTCCATGTTTGGGAAATGGTGTCTGCATGTAGAAAAACCATGTAATATTTTCTGAGCTCAGTCACACCCTTCTGTTTGTCAAATGCTTAGATGCTTATGCAGTTGAAGTATTAACAGTTGCATTATCAAAGGACAATATTTGATATGATTTGCAACAAATTGGGAAACTGGGTAAGGCAGTGAAATTGCAGTTATGTAGTGTAGGTGTAAGTGTGATCTGTAAACTCTTTGTGTTACTGTTCAGCTCAGTTTAGTTTCCCAGTGTTATGCACCAATTGGTCCAGCCTAGCTGCATCAGTTGAGAATCAGTACTACATTTCATTACTGCTCGCATACTGATTTAGCACAGAATGGTCCCTCTGAGACCTTGCTGCGCTGTGCAGGCTGTGGGGCAGTGTCCAGGAGACTGCTTTTTCCCAGATTCTGCTCATGTCTAAAACTTCCTGCAGGGAAAGAGGTATGAACTCCAAAATTGGGAGCTGACCCCATCAATTATTGAGACAGAATCATACTGAACCAGGATAGAATATGGGCAAGTGTCAGATTTTGGTATGACAATACGCAAATATTTTTAGTTTTAGTCCATATGCATTTTCAGCATTCAGGCTTACTAATGAAAGCAGTTGAGAGTGGTGATGCTGGACTTGGTGTAAAAGCCATTTAACTTTTATTGAAGTAAAATTTGAGAATTGAAACAATGCTCAACTTTTGTGTTAAACTTGAAGGCTAAACATTTGGGTTTCCCCATCATCAGTACTCAAAAAGGAAAGTTAGAAAACGTAATATGGAGATACAGCCAACCTACTAGGGAATGCATTACTACTGCCAATGTGTATCTGTATGTTTAACATTCTGGTAAGTACTAGTTTGGTATACTATTCAATATTCATCTGTTTTGATCTCTGAATGTCTTCTAAAATCAAAAGAATGCATGGCGATGGTAATTAGCTTGGGCAAATACTCTAACTTTAGAATTAATTAACACAATTCAGTCCATTTGGATTTGCTTCTTCAGGGACTGAAAGTATTTTTGACTGCGCTAAGATCAGTTGAATCGAGAAAAAAAAAGAATCCTAACATATAATCAGCTTTGATTCCATTTCAAGTTGGGTGAAGTTAGATGAATATATCAGTGGAGTAAAAATTGTGGCCATGGATAAAATTTTGTCTTACTGGATCTGATTCTCTTTCATTTCAGACCAGATTGTTAAGAAAAAGATTCAAATGAGCTCTTGGTTTCAAATCTTGACCTTAATTTTGTCCCCCAAACATGTAACTTACCTCATTTTATGTCCTATATCCTACATTCTCTTGTCCAATGTTGTATGAGGACTGGGGAGACCAAGTGAGCAAATCTCTCCAGTGGACAGCGAAAACTGCAGCCAGGGAGAGTAAGAGGGTGGGGATCTCTCAAAGTATTATTCCGATAGTACATTTCTATGGTGTATTGCCTGCTTAAAAATACAGAATTATCAAAATCAAGTTAGGTGTGTGAAACCACAGAGATTTTCCATGTTGTAGTGATTGTATTCTGGGATGAAGCTTATTTGTCTTGCTAATAATATATATCGTTAATACTCTGAAGAAATCTTAAACAATAAATGGTTAGTATAATTTGCATGTAGATTGTCTTACTGATAGACAGTTGAGGAGCTAAACAGATAAAGAGGGTAGATTAGAGCCCTCAACCGTAATGGAACAATAGAGAAACATCTTAGGCTGCAATGATGTGGTTCTGTTGCTGTCAATAATTGCTAAATTGAATCTAATTGTAATAATTAAAATCAATCTATGATCTTCTTCTGTGTGGTAAACCTTGTGTATCCAGTCTAGTTAGTCAGGGGTAGCAATACATTTCTTTAGGCAAAAAAATGTATATGCTAGCAGTATAGCTTGCAGATACTTGCCCATTTTTTTCCTGGTAGAGTTCAAAGAAATGACAAGCACTGTAAGGAGGCAGTTTCCCATTGAAAACATGGAGTGCCATCTGTAAGGCAACAATGGTGGTTGCATGCTGTAAATAGAAAAAAAAAACAGAAAAACCACCATTAAAGGGCTATTGAAAATCGCTGCACGTAACTCTTACTTAATAATAAGTCCAGTACATTGTCTCTATACTTAATATTACTTATGTGACTTCATTAATACTTGCCCTCTGCAGTGATTAACAAGCATTGTCCTCTTCTGGCTGTACGAACTGAAGTGCTGCATGTATAATGTATACATATTAAGAAGTTTTAGGCACCTATAGGTCTTAGTGAAGTTAGAAGGAGCTGTGAAAACTTCTTTTAATGAGAACTGGTAATTTTTCTTGTTAAGTTAACAGAATTTGAAATCTGAAATGTATTTGGGTGATATATATATTATACAGCTCATGATCAAATTGCAATTTAGGAATAGAAGCTTTTTACTCAGAGCAGTCTCAGAATTTCATTTCCCTATGAGAGTGTCTGGACATTCTAAACAAAAATGTAAGGTCACCATTGAATAACTGCTTTCATAATACCTTCTAAAATAACAAACTTTAACTTTTTTTTTTCCCACTTTTTTTTTCCCCCACTTTTACATCTGAAAAAGACACAGGAAGCAGGAGGTATGTTTTTAAATTATTTTTGGTTTTTTTTCAGTTCTCTGCTAAATCAAAACAATATGGTTCTGAAATAAGCTATGCCATCAGGTGGAAAATGGAGGTTGCAAAATAGTCTCCTTTCATTACAGAATGAAAACAATCCAATGGTATCTAAGGTTAACCAAATAAAAGTGCTTGTATCTGTATTTCATGCAGGAAATGAAGCTGCATGGCTCTCACTGTATTTAATAACTGCAGAAAGAGAACTTAAAAAAAAAAGGACTCACCGCAGAATATATAATCATTTTTTGATGGTGTGAAGGCTTTCTAGCATCTGACATATGCTTTAGGATAGTTTTTAAAAGAAGACCTGAAAGAAAATAAATAAGCACCAACAGTGACTAAGATGCTTGTGTTAATGTTTGTATCATTTTGTAATATTTGAACACAATCTTTCTTTAACTCCATTAGAGTTATTCTATTCAGTTTAGAGAATTTGTGCAGAATGCCCTGGTATTATCTTTTATTTGAGCAGTGAATCTGAATCTGTGTAAAATGTTTCTGCGATCCCTAATAGCTTCTGCAGCAATTACATTAGCATAAAATTGGAATCTTCCAGGAGTCAGAATTCTAAAAAAGAGAAGTGTATATGCTAGCAGAATGAAACATACCTATTATCTTCATCTACTGGCATAATTTTTATTGCAATTGGTAGTAAAGCAAGAGACGAAGTTTTAATTTCGTGCTTAGTTTTGTATGTTGGAGCTCCAAAAAGGCAAACAAATTAATCCTTGCTTATATGTGAGTTGTCCTTGTAGCTCACAGAATCTGACTGTAGAGTGGCAATATAAAGCAAAAATGAGGCCAAAAGGTTGACAGTGGATGAATGGAAGACAAATAAGTGATTAGAAAGGTTTTAACTATCTTAAAATTTCAGCAACTATTTGCTGAACAGAAAATAAAGCCCAGAATACTGTCATTTTAGTATAGCCAGTAATGAAAAAGGAAGACTTAGGAAGCAAAGTTACCATTCTAGAGATTATTACAGATAATATTTTGAAAGTTAAGCATGCTGGCTTACATTAAATTCAGAGTTGATTCAGTTCAGCAGAATCTGTATATTACTTTGAGTTTCTTATACAACATAACCAGAGTGATTGCTCCAGTTTAATGTTGAATGAGGATGTTTGTGATTCACATCCTTACCATCTCTCTTCTCATTAGTCAAAATCTTTTAGTACCAATTGCGAATATCTACGTCATAGCATCTTTTATAGCCATGTTTATTACACGTGTTTTCTTCTTTCCCATTGTACTATTGATTTTAAATGGGGTTAGAATTTGGCTTACCTCCCTGCAAACGTGATTTCTGTATTTGTTTGTGGAACCCAAATTCTGCCTGCAATAACAATTCTGAGAGCTTTATCAGCTTGGTCCTGACACCATGAGTAGCCCAAGCAGGTAAAGTGTAGTTGTTAATATCCTACAGTGAAGAAAGAAAACATGATGATTTTCTTGTTGGTACCCACTGCTAATTTTTTTTTTATTTTGGTACAAAATGCATATTAGAACAGATGCTAAATGTTTTTTCTCAAATAATGTTTTTCTGTATTTTGCATTTAGACAGCTGTGGAATTCTTATTTATGACATCCCACTGCTTAAAACAAATCTGAAGGGCAGCGTTCAACAAGAGGAGGAAATATAATACTGAAAACTATTACATAAAAAGCAAATGGCACTATTTATGCCAATTGCTAATGTAGTTGTTGGTTGCAATAAAAATTTCATCTTATGATTCTTCTTAAACCATCTACTGGAATATATCCCAAAATCTTTACTGAAACAAATGCTATAGGGATATCAAGATTTAAGGGTTGGCACCTTTGGACCAAGATCCATCAACTAAGTAGAACATATATAGCTGTAATTTGGATGTAGTGGAGAATGATGAATGTCTATAGAGTTTAGAACACCTACTTATTCCAACTGTGCTGGATGCTGATGCAATCCTCTAGCTGGAATATAAAGGATTCATTTTTTGTTTAGGGAAACAGCCCAAGAGAAATTAATGGTGGCAATTGTAAGAAGGAAATATGTGCCAGCACTCCTGGTTTCTACTGCTCTGAATTCCAGTTTAAAGCTGGTATCTTTCCTTTATTTCTTGTGAATGTGACTCAGAGGGCTGAGCTCACCAGGTGGAGCCAACTGCTTAACTTAGGATTTATTTAGATAAGTGAAGCATGTTAGGTTAAATAGGCTCAGGTCACTTTTTCTTTTAACAAATGCAATCTGTGCCTTGAGAAAAAAAAAATTGCCTGCTTCCATGCTATTTAAGACAGTGCTGCTGGCAAGCAAGCACCTCAGTCTACAAGTCAGATGACACTTAGCCAATAATAACAAATACAGAGATGTATGCTACTGTAATTTCATTAATTTTGTTTAAAAAAAAAAGTGAAAAAGCTGTCTTTATACACTTGAGAGGGCAAAAGTGACTTTTGTGGCAGATGTCTTAATTTATACCTCAGTAGTCTTCACTGAGTAATATGAAAGCCCAAGGTTCAATCAATCTAACACTAGAAGTAATAACCCAACTAACTGGTTTTGCATTCCAGCAGTTAGGAAGCTCCCTGATGGGAGCTGCCAATTCTTCACATTTCTGTGGTGGCATGGGTTTCTCAGTATGATATAACAATTGACATTAAATGCTGTGGTCCTGAACTGTCCTGAATTTGGGCAATATGAAAAGGTGACCTCATTGAAATTACAGTGCTCAAAATGCATTCATTTAACTCAGGCCTTGGCTAGCAATGCAGTCAACTTCACTGGTCAAAGCTGGACCTTCAGAAACTGCAGGACAGAAGGTAAACTCATTAGCATCACATCCAAGTAGCATGTGTTGACTGTGGAACACGTCTTAAAACTGCTTCAGTTTCCCAGAAACTATCCTACTGTTGATGACCAATTTGTTATTAATATTTGAATTTTAAAGTAATTATTGCTGTAAAGCAGTTCATAGCAAGCTCTGCCTGCAACAATATCAAAGATATTTTTAATACAAGACTACCTGCAATTTTTACTTGCTTCAGCTGGCATAAGTCAAGACTTGGAAGTGGCACAAAATGGGGCTAGTTGCTAAATTAAGAGCATTCAAGGTTTTTTTCACATCCCTGTCAGAGATACCATTCTGTGAGACCCATATACCTGTGACAGTTGGGTACCAGAACACCCCTTTTGTTGTAAAATCTGTGCTTCTTTGTGATGTGCATGGTCCATTTGCTTGTAACAGGCTCCCAAGGTTTGCACAAATAATCCTTTGTGTCATTTCAGTGGCTGCTTAATTCCTGAAAATGACCATTACAGACTACATGCAACTTGGGCCTTATCATACAAATTGCATGAAATCTTTCTGGAGGCATGTTTATGTTGTCTTTGCCAAAAAAAAAGTTTTACGCCCATGCATCTTTGTGATGGGGTACAAGAGTTACAAGACAATTTTACCCAAAAGTATGCTTTTGCTTAAGTGTGCATGTGCAATCACTAACAAGACGTTGCATTTGGTAGGCCATTCGTTTGTGTTTGTTACGGTGGTGAATGACCCTCAGCATCCTCACACAGTCACAGTTGGATATTCAGCTGTGAATTTGATGTAGGATAAGTGTTCTGAGGAAGAAGCTGAAAATAAACTGTGGTTCAAAAGAATTGGAAATACAAATTTACCTTATTCTGAGTTTTTTTCAAACCATAGAAATAAAAGCTAAGACTGTAAGTGTTTATATTGGACCTTGGAAATTTTCTTTGTATTATTTACCTCATATCGTAAAGTGTCAGAGATCCTCAAAATTCTTTCACTGTTCAATGTCTTCAGTGGGTATCCAGTGTGAGAGGCTAAAAACTTGAGAAAAGACTGGAAAAAGGAAACTTGTATGTTGCACACTTTCTACATCATTTTTACACACTTCCATAGTACACAGTAATTTTTAGAAACAACATAGTCTTTGCACTTGGTGCCTAAGCACTGTACTGTTGTTTGGTGGAATTCACAGGCAGGCAGTTACTACCTGTTCAAGTGGATCCTTTTTCATCCTGCAGGCTCCACATGTTTTCATAATCATCTGGCAGACACAAAATCAATGCTTGCACAAAAATTTATTAAGAGCTTATGAAACCTGGCTGTCATCCTACTTTTTAGCTATGGCCTCCCTCGCACTTCTACATCTCAGGTACAGGGATATATATGTTTCATATTGCTTCTTGAGTTGTCAAATGCATGGCTTCTTCATTCCTACCTTGGGACCTGCCTTAATTACAACCCCATCTACTATTTTAGTGCTAAAGACACCTACTGATCTGAGCGATCTAGACATAGGATCACACAGTAATTTTGGAGAGATAATATTGATCAATGAAAGAGGAGACATAAACCAGGAAAACTTAAATATGCTAATTTATACCACTAGTTTTTATTAGGGAAGAAAAGAAATAGTTTTCTTTTAGGCTGAAAAGAGAATACAGCCTATTCATCTGAAATAAGGATGGCAATCTGAGACTAAGTTTAAAGTACAGAAATAGTTTATGCTTGGTGGGAATGTTCAAAAGTGGGTAGAATGGATCCAGATATATGAAGAAGTCTGGCAGAATCCAAGAAATGTTCAGTAGAAGTGTGATAAACAGAATTATTCCAACATTGGCAATGAGTAGCAGGGAGGTCTACTGTAAATTTGCTAAAACAGGGAATTATGATTCACATGATTCTAACACCTCGATGCAGAGCCAGAGAAAGATGGCTATTTAGGTGTTTAGGTGGTTAAAGATTATAGGAAAACAGGTGAGTATGATAATGCCATTTTGATTAAACCCACAAAGAAGAAATTTGCAGTAGAATATGAGAGTGATTACATACTCATTGGCAAGTAATTTGATGTCAGTGAAAGAAAGGAAGGGATATATTACAGATGCAGGAATGTAATGTAAGTGAGTATCTAAATGAAGACATTAGGTGTGAGGCATGAAAAGGTATTGAGGAAAACATTGGGACTATTATAAAAAAAAATTGTGTAACTGAGCAGAGAGAATTCTGTGGTAGTATCTGAACTAGCAAGGAGTTATGCAGTCAGAAACATCAGAGGAGTTGCTAACATGAAACTGAATAGAGATAATTATTGAAGTGAGAGACTGATCTGATCTAAGTTTTTGTTTTCTACTAGAAAGTAGGTGTCATGTTTTCTTTTTGAAGGTAGTCAATCATTTATCTTTTCCATGACTTGCAATTTTCAGTTGGTGGGGATGGCTCAGTCTAGGTGGCTCATAGTATTGTAACTGTAGTTTGAGTATGTTGCATACACCCACTTTGAAGATTAGATATCTGAAAGGAGCATACCGATTGCCATTTTTGAACACACTTGTTAGATAATGTTGCCCAAAGTAGTACATTTTAAATTGAAGATTTCAGAAATTAAAATACTTCACCCTGTACTGCTTGAGCTGCTTCTGGAAATCTCTTGTTGCAAAGGTTTCTCTCAGAAGCTCATTGTATTTTGGGCAGTGTGAGAAAGGTACATATAGCAACTGAAAATGAAATTGCAAAATATTAGTTAGGCAAGATTCTTCTTGTTCTTGTTCAACATAGCCTTGTAAGACTGTTGTCCCGATTGGCTGCACTAATTAAAACAAGCCACAAAATTATTTGGGAGTGTTCTTTTCTTGGATATTCATCTACTGGACCATAAGAGTCATATTGATGACTACTTACAAAATAATCTTTACATGTTTAGAGGAGTAGTAGGTTCAGCAGATCAAAGTTAAAGGAGTCATTTACAGAAGACTGAATTTGTCACTTGACAGAAGAATAACACAAGACCTCATGTACTGCTTTGTGCTTGGCTTCCCCAGAGATGATTTCACTCACTGTGTTCAGTCCTTCTTCAAACATACTGTCACCTTTCTACTATGAATTACCATGCAGCAGGTGGACTGCAATAAGAGTCTTTGTGCATACTCAGCTGTATTAAGTAGACTTAACATAGTTCCATTTACTTCAGCTAAATCAAAGAAATAAGCTAAGTTTCTATAACTCATCTTTCCTTTGACCATGATATATTCTTAGTGGTTTTTTTTCTTCTTTCTAATATGCTCTTTGTCTTTTTTCCAGCAAGGAATTTCTATTTATATAACCAGGCAGTTAAAGGAGCTTTTAAAAAGAACTTGGGAGTCCTGAAGGGATAATTAACAGAGAAAGCTTCAGAGCAGTTCCTCAGTCTTTTTGGAAACATAATTTATCTCTTCAAGATGGTAAGAAAGAATTTCTGAATTATAACCATAGTTCATGAACTGGCATAGCTTTTCCAATAAATAAATGATGGACTCTCATCTTAGGTGGAAGTATACATGTGGTCTCAATCTTACATGTACAAGCAGCAAAAATTAATACAGTCAAAAAACAAGTAGTAAAAAAAGTAGGAAATTTATATTTACGACTATGATTTGTTTGATTTGTTTATTTGATCCCCTAGGCATGAGTGAGGTGCAGTACCTGCTTGCTGAGTGTGACAGTGGTGTTGATGCTGACCAGGTCATGTTGACTGTTTGCTGGGGTACTACCATCTGCGGTGGTGTCAGAGCATCTCCTGACTCTATATCAATCTGCATTTATGCACAGGGAGACATACATCTCCGTATCTTCCATATTCAAGCTCTCATCACTCTGAGGTGAGAACCAATGCTCCATGTCCCTGTTCAACCAAATTCTCTGTCACAGATTGCATTAACTAGATTTCTAAGCGCACAAAATCTATCTCAAAGACATGTAAACCTTCTCTTTCACAATGGGACTCACAGTGTATGCTCATCTTTCTTAGCTTTTTAACACAGATTTTCCAAAAATGGGGAACTCTACTCAGTCCATCTGAGTCCGTTCCCATGGAAACTCCTGACAGTATTTCTACTCAGCATATTATTCCTTTCTGCCTGATGCTTGTAATTAATATAGCTTTCATTGTTGCTGTGCCCTTTTTCAGGCTCCTACATCTCACATGCTAGATATTTTACTAATGATCAAGGGAAAACAAGTGCTTATAGTTTATACTCACATTATCATGTGACAGTGGCACTGTGTGAACTGGAATCGGCTGCCAAAGGATTCTGGGGTTCCAAATGTGCCCCTGTGTTGGTGGATACAGCCCAGCAAGAGTTGCCTGAGCACTCATAAGTGTTTGATCACAGTCAGTGCTCTGAACATAAATCTGAAGGAAGAAAGGAATTTTATTTATTTACTTACTTAAGGTAATCTCTCCTGTTAAGTCTCTTCTCTTGATAGAAAAGAAGGGGTCTAGTACTGTGCTGAGTAAATTGGCATTTGGGGTAAAGAAAGAAAGAAGGGAGAAAGAAAGAAACTGAAATAGGGCCTTGGAATAAAACTTTAGTGGAGAGGAAAGTTGCAACTTGGCAGCTGCTCCCTTAGGAGTCCTAGTGAAAAACATAAGGCTACCTTCAGTTGATCAAACAAATTAGGACATCATGGATGCACTGAGCAACTGGAAATGAAAACAGCTTTGTCTGCGCTGTAAATGGAAAAGCATAATTTGAAATCTCCAACACAGATATTCTGTCACAGCAGTGAGGTATCTGAGCCTCATATACAGCCTTAAAAACTTCTGCATGGTTTTTGGCTTACCATCAGGCTCACTCAAAATTGAGCCACATCTTCAGGGATATTTTGAAATCACACTCAGTTCAGTAGGTTACCTCCAAATGTACCAAGCTCAGATTCTCACAGATCCAAGAAGTCCTATCAACCAAAAAACATGTTCCCTTCCAGATCCAGTACTTGCCTCAGACTGTTTGTAAACAACACTCAGGAAATAGGAGTATCTTCTCCGCATGTACTGTCCAAGCTCATACTGTTGCTGTATGCCAAACTGTAGAAGTAACAGAATAGTGTGAGAGCCTCAAGAAGTGTTCTGTGCATCTATTCCTACAAACCAAAAATTATAAAAGCTTTCATAAAATGTTTCATTTCTAAAGGGAAGATGGAAAGAAAGGAGAAAAATGGAGTAAAGTGACAGTATTGGAATTTCAGCTTGATTATTTTCTTATTTGCAATGTGAAATGTTCACTATATGAACATAGTCTCATTAATACTCATTTCTTTAGCCATGAGGGAAAAAAAGTAGAGAAAAGATGTTTGCACTCAATTTAGATTGCATGCAAATGAAGATCGTTACTCTCTGTCTCTGAAACTCACATCTTAATAAGTTAAGCTGAAATTTGAATCTTAATGGACAAAAAATCGGAATCCCCTGTGCATCTGGCTATAGTTTAGGTAGGTGCAGCATTCTGCAAAGGGACTTAATAAAGAAATACCATATCTGTAACAATCCTAATGCATCTATTGTAGGCAAAGGATTGCATTTATTATCCTAGAAAGCATGAATTCTTGCTGAGTGAATTCTAAAGAAGGTAAGTGTTTAGAGTACTTCATTACAGAGGCATGGGAGTTTACATTATTTAAAAGAGATTATAAAGGAAAATGCAATATTTATACTAAAATACATGTATATAAACTAACCAGGAGTGAACTGGAAATTGGAAGGACCATCTGGGCTAAAGTTCAAGAACAACCTTTCAGTGACAGCAATGGAAGCAAAAATACCTGAGCAGTTCAAAGGCAGATCTTGCCACACATATGAACCCGGATTGTATGATGTAGCTTTTTGCCATGGCAAAGGCCTGGATTTGATTACTTAAAAGGTTCTTCTTATTTCTGTGCTATAAGAATTGTCAAAAAAAAAGCTACTAATTAATTCCCTGAATGCCATCTTCACAATAGGCTTCACCATAAAAGTCATCTCTGTATTCACCAGTAACAGACAAGATACGTCTTCCTGACAGATGTTGCATTTTGCTTTTCAGAAAGCCATGTGGTTGTTTATCTAAACGAACAAGCTTAACTGAGGGGAAGGGTTAGTAAAAGTAGGTGCAGACGTGTCCTAACAAAGCTGTCTGGTTTCTGCTCTGTTCCTAGCTCACAGCAATAGGGTGCAGACACAGCAACCACCTGACCATGAAGGCAGGTCCAGGATATGAATGCCACAGAGAATCACCAAAGATTCCACATGGAAGTTACATTTTTGGCTTGCACAAGTTCTTCCCCTCCAGAAAGACTGAAAATTTTTAATAGAAGACTGAGCATAAATCCTCCATGCACCTGGGTATTTCGGTGCAATGTTAATTGTTAACTACAGTCTAAAACTCTTGATTCTTGGTTCTAGCCAGAATATGTCCCCAGCTTTCAACTACTGGATCTTGCAACCTCTTTGAAGGACATGTTCTCTGCCATCACAAATCTTATTCTCAGTAAGAGAAATAAAGTTGAGTCAATTACTTAATCTCTCTGTTAAACGAGATAGATGACAGTTCTCTACTCTCACAACAAAACAGGTTTTCTAGCATAAGCATTTTTGTAGCTCTTTTGTGAACATTTCTATTTTCCAGATTACTATTATCATTTTGTAGAGTCATGATGTGAAAATCACATGCAGTGTCCCTGTAATGGTCTCATAGTTGTGATCTTAATACTTGTACCTGGTGTTTCCTAGCCTAAATGCAAGTATATTCAACTTTGCTCACATAACCATTACTTTGCACTGGGATCTTAAGTATGGTGATTATTCACCGCTTCCCACAGTCCTCTTCTGAGTCATAAGATCATAGGGTAATTCAGGTTCAAAGGGACTTGAGGAGGCCCCTGGTTGGACCTTCTGCTCAGAGCAGTCAGAGGTCAGACCAGGTCGTCCGTGGCTTGTGTGTGTGACTGCCTCTTTCAGTTGCTGGAATTGTGCATCCAAAGTTTCCTAGGGTATGTGCTCATCCTAAGCTTCTGCCTCAGCTTGTCTAATATGTGTTGCTAAACCCTGATGCCTGGGTCTTAAAGCCTCCCAGAGCTTACGTAGCCCGAAGCATGCTGACATGTTGTGCTGAACATGCATTAAATACATATGAAGTGCTTGAGTCATGGCTGAGTTAAGGCATAGGAAGCTGGTCCTAACCATCTTTGAAACACTCATTGTTGCTTTCTGCCTTAGAATGACCTTTGCTGCCACAGCTCTTACTCCTTTTTTTTTCAAGGAAGATGGTGCGAGAGGAAACAGGCCTGACCTCGCCTCAGAGATTGGTACGTCCTTCTGAGAATGGAGTGGAGGAGGAGACCCACGTGCAGTTTGCTCTATCATGACTTTGTTGGAGACCTGGCCAGTGACAAGTTTTCCAAGGAGAGAGGAACACACTCATTGTGCTGGACCTGCTGGTGTGTGAGCAAGCTTAGTGTGCAGACACTTCTCAGAGGCACACACACAGCCTGTAAACATAGCTCACAGTCTGATTGCACACACAATAGCTGTTTTTTTTTCTGGTCCTTTTGGGTTTTGGCATCTCAAAATCTCTTCAGGCTGCCTGGTTTCCAAATCCTGGACAAATGACTCGGGCATTTTTCCACATAAGTGGCATATCTTGGGGGAAAAGGAGGGAAAGCACAGGCACAATAGAAAATGCTGATGGGAGCAGAGCAGATGTAGGTTTAACGCTCCCCTAGTGTCTCTGTATTCCTTCGAAGCCTAGTAGCACAGGAGCTCACCATTTGTACCATTTATAAGAAGAGGCATCTAATACTAATAACAGTTAATGGAGAAACACAGTTTCTGCAGCTGAGATCTGTTATTGCTTGATTTGCTGCCAGTTAAGACCATCAGCTGATACTGGTATACTAGCTCAATTCCATTTATATCCCACTAACACCTAAACCAGCTGAGCTTTAAATCAACTTTCCTTTGCACAGCATGAGAGACATTTTTGCTAATACTGATCTCAGTAGTTCACAAGCTAGGAAGAGCACCTACCCATGAGAAATTGAGGGTGGTTGTGAGCACTTTTCCCACCTTGGGTTAAAGCTACGTGTTTGATCTCAGGTGAATTGCCAGTGCCTGGCTCCTCTCAGAAGATCTCAGTCTGCAATCAGACAACTCAGCATGCCCTGGTGTTGGTCCAGAACAGTCAACTCAGTGTCTTTGAAATCAGTGACTAATCACAGCTTCCTGGTAAGTTCTATTTACAAGAGATCCGCATATTGCAACTTAATAGGGACTGTCTCCAAGTTAAAACAAAGTGCTAAAAACCAAATATATTTCTGTATGTCAACAAACACACCTTGGTAAGCTGTCCGTATCCATGCTGCCTTGCAATTTCTTTGTGCTTGTCAGTTGGAAAAAACTCCTGTGGGGTATGATCGCCATGGTGAAACACCTGATAAAACAGATGGAATTCCCTTCATGTTACAGTCTATTAAGGGTGGGTGTAATAATGCAGACCCAACAATTATGCCATGACAGTGAATACTGTACTAACAGATTCTAAATGTATTCACTATGCTTACCTGTGTTTAGATAGCAGTAGTAGGTAATGTCTAGTAGGTACTATCTAGGTCTACAGTACCTGCTTGATTTATTTAGACAGGTGCAACTCCTATTTTTTAGTTTGCAAGTTATAAAAATTTCTAATTTTTAATATATTTTAGAGAAGTTTTATGTATTTTAGGAGGTACAGACTACAGCATTGACAGAAAACAAACATGTAAATAATTTTCTGGGAATATTAGAACATGAACATTTTGGTGGGACTGAAAGCTCAGAAGAAAGGAAAATAAACTGCTGCTGGAGATACAGTTTCTGTGGCAGAGTGCTGCTAAGCACTCTATTTTGGCAGAAATTAGCCCTAAAAAGCCATGTGCTATCTTTTCCACCAAAAGAGGTGAAGAAAGTGTCATTTATCATGTAAATATAGGCTAAACTGTTACTTTGAAAACACTGAACATGTTCCGAAATTTCCCTTCATATAAAAGATACATCTGTAAAGGTACATCAAGATTTTTCATTCCTGTGATGGATTCTCTCCTTGTCCAACATTATTCTTGTACATATATGTTGTATCACCCTAAGATTTTACCACCAGATTTTTTTTATTTATTTGTCCAAGTAGGGGAAATTAATTGAAAACTATAGGAAAAAAATGTACTGATAATTTATATTACCCGTGTGATACTCAGAGCAGACCACATCAGGCCTCATGCAAACAGCAGTACATCATAGTCATTGCAAGTAGCATTCATTTTACAGCAATGGTTCTATGTTGTGTATTCAGTACCACTGTATGCTTGTTTGGCTTTCACACAGTGAAATCTGATTTGCTTGTTAATGCAGTGAAAACAGAGGAAGAGTAAAAATTCTTCCATGGCAAAGAGTATTTTTGAAATCCATAGAAATTTAGTTATGAAATCCTATTTTATATTTTAAAAATACTGCTGTGCAACTCCTCTCTTACTGCTAAATAAAAAAAAGACATGTCGTTGTTCCAGAAAGTTACTTTCATCCAGAACTGCACAAAAGAGATAACATTATAAAATGTTATTTCTAATTGGGGATTGTTCTTTGTGCAATGCAATAGTGAATTCTGAGTATGCAGTAAACACTTTGGTATTCACATATTCACAAATATCTCCCCCCTACAACACACACACACACACACACACACACACACACAGGTTTTTAAGTCCATTTGTCCATGAACTATATACTTACTACAGACACAAACTTCAGTTTTCTTTTTGCTGTGGTTTGGCGAAGAAAGATGCAAAAGAGGCAGAATGTGAAACACAGACTCCAGATTCCACACACCAGCTGCTTTGATCTCATCCTGAGGGTAAGTACCTTCCAAGTGTTTTGCACACCAAGGAAGGCCCCTGGCTGGACGTGGTGATACTGTAGATATGTGGCTGAGGGGGGAGGAGTTGGCTGTGCTTGATGGAGTCTGAAACTGTGATCTCCCCTCCTCCTCCCTTTTCTCCCTTCTTGGGTCAGTATTGTTCTGCAAATTCATACAATGAAAATTGGATTTTGCACTTGCACTCAATTTCTGAATCCTGCATGTAATGGGACAAGTAATCTCTGAGCCTGCCAGTTTCTGCACCAGGCACTCACAAAGTAGGTGCATGTAAAGAACTAGATGTTCCATCTATTGTTTAAGCTATGATTTAGTATCAGTCAGCCTTCACAAAAGTGAAAATGATGCAGATATGCTGTATCTTGCTGTAACAGTACTCACACAGTCTTATTTGAACATTTTGTGAGACGGCAAGTGAGAGGGAGTGGTGCTAACAACTGTTCTTTCTTGAAGGGTCTCTGGAGTTTCCTTTACATTTGGCCGTGGTTTTTAGCAGGAATAAAAAACAGAATGTTTTGTTACATGGGAGCAAGGATAAGCCTAAAATGACTGCAAAAAAATAAAGATGTGTCCAGAATCATATATTATAGAATCATTAAGCCTGCAAAAGACCACTAAGAGCACCTAGTCCAACTATCAGCCCCCCTCACATGCCCACTGACCATGTCCCTCAATGCCACATCCACACTGTTCTCAAACACCCCCAATGACTGCACCACTTCCCTGGGCAGCCTGTACCACTGCCTCACTGCTCCTTCTGAGAAGAAATTCTTCCTAATATCCAACCTGAATGTTCCATCTCTGTAGTATATCTATATGATTCTATTGGCAAAGTGGGTGCCACTGTTTTCTAAAGCTATCCTTTAAAATTTCATGCAGTTAAGTAAATTTTAGATTTTCAAATATCTCTTGCTGCAAATACTCTCATTGTTACATCATGCACAAATCAATTGTTTCTGTCATTTTTCCTGTACATTTTAAACAAAGATAGAATCTAGCTCATAGATAGTCTTGTGAGAGATTGCATTGATCTCATAAGCTTACTGGTTTATATTCAGTCACATTCCTGGGTTAATAAAAGCCCTATTAAACATGGAAAAAATGAGGGTGATTTCTTAGTGATCAAAAGCTCCCAGTATGTAGGAATTTAAAAGATGTTGCTGAAAAAAATCATGTTTCTACCCCAGAAAGTTGTGTAATTTCAAGCTAGCTTAAAGTACATATAACAGTGCTTTTCTTCATAGTCATTAGATACGGGCTACCTGGACAGATCAGTTCTCTTTCCCAAAGTAGCAGTGCCTCTTCTTTCATGTGTCAGAGCTGAAGAGATTTCTCTACGAAATATTCAGAGGTCAGACTGTCTTGGTATAAAATGGTTCATTTGTCACTTCTGCTTTTGTGCCTGAGAAGGCAGACCTACTGCTGCAGAAATAGAATATTGGGAGTTGCCCACATTTGTTGAGAAGGAGAACATTATTATTTTTATTTTTTAAATGAGGGACTCGGGGGAGATGTGGATTAACTAGTTAGTTAAAGCTATCTACACTCCGTACAGTTTCCTGTCTCCACTGGCCATCAGACTTCAAAAATCTCTTCCAAAAGAGTACATTCATTGGTGTTTGCAGGTGACATGACATCAGAAGCCACCCCTAAAATATCCTGTTTTGCATTGCAAGCCTTTTAATAAGACCAACTGGTATCAGTGAGGAAAAAATACTCATGTTTTCAGAATTGCAGGACTCCATGCAGGTTGTTCAGATAGTACTCTAGCAGGGACAATAGATATATGATAGGAGGAAAAGGGCTTTTCTTTATTCTTTTCTAGATATTCACTCTCTCTCATTTTTATGTAAGATTTCTTTAACAAGAAGGTGAAATTACTCTTGGAGATGACAAAATGTTAGTGTAAAAATGTGTATTTGATTCCTTTGATCTAATCCTGGCGCTACTAATTCTGTGGGAATTAGCATACATAAAAAGTACAGCATGTCAGTGCAAATCTGTTCCTGCTGAAGGTTATAGAAGTGGAATGAAACTGTGCTACACCACTTATTGTCATTCCTGTGAGTGAAACTCTAGAGAGAGCAGGAGGTGGACCTTTCTTGGCAGCTGACTCTCACCTGTAGAAGTCCCCTGTTGTAGCTGGTGAGAGATGTAAAAGCCGCAGCTCCATTCAAAGACAAGATAACAGATTCTTTAGTATGCTTGCAGCCAGAGTTAAAGCATCAGGGGAAGGTGGAAGAGGAGGAAATAATTATAAAGGTAATAAATGAATCTCCTGACTATCCTGAAAGTGCAAAGGGAAATATATCAGGTGTAGATTATATGCCCTTGTCTTACCTATGAACTTGGCGAAGTGTTTATACAACTTTCTTTTGTGTGATATACTACGATATCTAAAAAGTCAGTGTGTTAAGTTATCCTGCCAAAACTTGGACATTGTTTAGGGAGTACAAGATTTCAATAATGATCCTTCAATACTTCTAAGTAGATTCACAGTTTGAGTGCTATTGTTTTTAAAAGCTTTCATCCAAATGATAAAATTTGCATCCTACCCCAAACTGCAATGTAAAGAGTATTCAGGTAGATGTGATGTTTGTCCCCCTCCACCATCTTTTGTTAAGTGCAAGGTTGATGAATCTGTTTGGTTTTTAACTATAGTAGAGGATACATGCACCTTGACATGCAGCTTCTTCATTAGCACTGGAGGAGAATCAGAATTACTTAAAGATATGCCCACAAGCATGCTAGGAGAAGGCTCTAGTGTGAAATTAGTGGGGGTAGAAGGAGGCATGTATAGAAAGACTCCAGTCTTCCCATCCTGCCTCCTCTCCTTTCTCCCTGAAGGATACCCTAGTAGGTACTTGCTCCAGCATCTGATGTTGAAATCATGACTGTGTTTTTTACAGCATTGACTTCTGTTGCCATCTCCATGCCTTTTCTGTGTCTTCTCTCCCCAGCCCCACTCGGGTCAGGGTGGTATCTGTCCCTCAGCAGAGTTCAGTGTAAGGATGTTTCCTCTGGCTTACAGCACTCCTGTTCATCTCTTGCTTGCACACTGTGAATAAACAATAAAGAACAGTGAGGTTATCATTCATGCAGCTGCAATGGTAGCCTGAACAAAAGGGTTCCAATTCCAAATCATTTTCTTAGTATCTAAATAGATAGGTATCAACTGCCTCTGTTTGGCTAATGCTTAACATTGACTTCTTTCATCCTGTATGTTAAGAGAACAAAGGTAAGTCGTGTCACCATGCCTGTGTCACCAGGACACATTATATATCACCTCAAAAAGAATTCTGCCCTAATCAGATACACACTTTCTGTTAATAATTTCAGTGCTGGCATGCAGTATTGTCTCAATCCGTTCTACAGTTGGGTAAGAGACACGTTCACCTTCCCCAAGGAGGTGAATCGAATCTTGTCAGCAGTATGAGCAAAATAGAACATCTGCAGACTACAAATGAAGAAATCTGCAATGTTAACAGCAGCTCCAGAGAGCTCTCAATGTTCTTGCTGCTGTTGGCAGGAGCCATCACTTTCCTTCAGCAGCATCAGAAAACAAGAGAAATAGAGGTTGGTGTTAAGCTTGTAAGCAGTGAGGCTGCAGTCTTTCTTAAGGCAGTAAGCCTTCTCTGGTTGGACCCAAAGCTACACTCCTGACTTCAATCTATGATTAAGTTCTTTTTTGCACAATAATCAGCTTCTTCACTGTTACGCTGATAGAAATACAGAGTAGCTACACAGAAGCTGATGGACTTATTCCACATGTATTTCCCTGGAGGTCTACACTGCTCTTCTTCTACTAATGTTTTCTTCAGCACGTTCTGATCTACATTTTGTAGATGTGTTTGGGATATGTGCATCTGCTGCTCCAGATCCTTGCTCAATATGATTTTGATTAGCTCTTTATCTTTGATAGAGTTACTCTGGCTTACAGGAGCTTCAAAGTAAAAGAAAAAGAGGGACATTAAAATTCATTTCCTCCAGCTGTTCTGATGGAAAAGCACTATAACAACAACAAAAAAATAAAATAAAATAAAAAAAACTTTGTATTCACGTAGAAAGAGATCAAATTCCAGATACCATCTTCATCTGGAGTTTTACTGCATTGTAAAGCCTCTTCCTTTCAAATGTGAGCTCTTTATTCCCAGTTTTGTGTGATTCACCTTGTCATAAGAAAGTATATGACTCAAGAGTAGCAAAGCTGTTGTGGGGGATTTGCAGATTAGGATGCAGCTTAATAGTTGTGCCTTAACAGATGATGACTGTAACATCAGAATTAAGCTGACATTAGTCCACTACTTTACAGTGGTGTTTATTTTGGCCTCAGGTCATCATTGAAACACAGGCTGAATTCTGTGCAGTGTAAACGCCGTTCTTTTTTTTTTCTTTTTTTTTTCCTTTTTTTCTTTTTTTTTTTCCCCCTCACAAATTGCATGACTATATTCACGCACCTTTATTGGGCTGGATCACACAACCAGACTAACAGTGCAGAAAACAAGTAAGATTTTTTAGCAAATTTCTAGGATACAAAGGTCTTTACACCTCTAACATTATCTAGACTCACCGTGTGTTGTGTGGGACTGACAGGCTTCACGCTGAATTGAATACTGGAGGAAGAGAAGAACATTTTCTTTCAGACAGCCATCATCACACCTGTCTATCTTGTATTAAAGCCAGAAGTGGTTCCATCCAGGTGCTGACATAAGTCCAAACAACAATCTCCCTGTGTGTAATCAAGCATCAAGCTATTGTCCTTGTATACCTTGGAATACTCGGGGGGGCTGGGTTCCTGCTTTCTTTAATTTTTAATAATTATATTTAACTTCGAGGTAGAATATAATAACTGTGATTAAAGCGATTGTTCTGCTCAGCTGGAATGATTTCTGTTCGTGCCCTAGCACAATGCTGCAAGATTTGAAATGCAAATACAGGGAAGGGAAGATATGTTCTTGCAATAATGTGGTTTTTTAGATTTCCATTGAAATAAAACAAAAATAATTTTATAAAAACCTAAGCTGAGGTAAAATGCAAACCAGAATTTTTTTAGGTGTTGCACCTTGCTGGTGATGAGTGCGGTCTACTTACAACAATAATTTCAATTTTAAAGTTCTGAATTAGAAATGAAGAATTAGTAAATTAGTTTTTGGCTTCAAAGTTAATATTTCATCCTTCCTGCTTATTCTGTTTCCATGCTATTATCATTCTTTGGTCTCTATGGATTCTTGTTAAATTTTGTCTTTTTTGGTTGGTTCATCTTAACAAGTGAAACACTCTATCCTAAGATACAAGTCTACTTTAATGACACATCTTAAATCTATTTTGGTCAGGTGTTTTCTTGAAAGAGTAGTAGTTGATTTAAATATTGATGCAAACTTTTTCTGAGTGAATCTATCAGAACAGTGGCAATGGAAGACTGTGTTTTTATGTCACTGCACTGTGGCCATTAGTACTAGGCAGGCTGCATGGTGTTATCACTTTGAAGTTCTGCTTGGAATTTCCAGTGTGACTTTTGTCAGTGACATTTTCATTGACTTGTCAGTAAGGTTGTTAAAATATATGCATATATTTTTGCTTAAAGTCACAGTTTGTCTCATGCTAGATCAAAATAGAATAAGTACTGAATTTTAGAGAGAGAGGTTCTAAGACATTCTGGAGAGATAATTCTTTAACTTGTAAGCAATATTGAGCTGCTTCTGTTAGATACCTTTATCTGCTCTATAAAGTTAATTAAAGAGACTTTCCATTTTCTTGCATATTATAATGCATATTGTCCATGCTTGTCTTCACGCAGGCATCTATAGAAAGGACAAATAAGCTGTGAAAGTGCATTCTACAACAATATGGAACAAGCTTCCTACAGGGCAATGAACAGACAGTAGTGCAGGTAATTGGCTGTTTTGTTTTGGAATCTGCTACCTACTGAGATACTGGCAAGGACGTGGGTGGGTGAGTGGTAACAGCTTCAAGGACTCGTTTTTGTAGAAAAAGAAGGGACAGTGACTTGAGGTCATGTGGAGAGTTAGCCGACACCTCTGTGAGCTGCTTCCACTGTTGAGAAACCAAGCTACCAATTAGTATAAATTAATACTATCAATTAGTAGTTTAGTTGATATAGGCAGATTTAATTTTATGAAGTGTGAGTTTAGAAGTTTGATTAATAACATGTTGGGTTTTCCAAGGACCTAGGGAATGTGCTGCACTGACTGCAGGTAAGCCAGCCAAAGGGCTTTGGTTAACTGCAGTTATGCAGGCTGTTCTTCCTGCATAACTGACTTGGTCTTCAGTGAAGGCTACATTCTCAAATATGAGCGCAAAATGAAGAAGCAGCATGAATACTTCAGGTAAAGGAACAAAAGCTATCCAAAGGAATCTTGATTTTAACAGGTAGGTGATGAAGTTCATGTTCTGATTCCATAGATGCAAGGTGACAGCCCACAAAAACAAGCTCTGTTGTGATTTTTGTTTCACCAGGCATGACAGAATTGGTGAAGGTTTATTACGTGCTTCTTCACTTTACGCACTGAATAGTCAGTAATTTATTGCATCCTTTCAGTTAAGCTGTGGATCTTGTCTGTTTTGTTAGCTCTGGATCACAGTTGTGTTTTACCTTAACTGAAGGTATGTAATAGGGAAAAAAAAAAAAAAAAGCAGTAGTACGAAAGAATATTTTATTTTAGTGCAAGCCAAATAAAAACTGTATGCCTAAACCCACACAAAAACCAAGCAGTAGTACAGAAGTTGGAAAAATGTTTGCATATATCTGTAGACATCTCAGAGAATTATTTTGCAAAGGTATATTGCCATCTAGTGCTAAACTTTCTTCTATTCGTTGTAGTGTGTGCTTGTACATTTGCAGTAGATTCCTCACTGACACTTTCATGAGAATCATCAGAAATAATTTTCACTTCTACTGTCAGGGCTGCTGGCATTGTAAATTTACTCTCTAGAAAGAGAGTTTGCTAAAGTTGCTGCCCTGTTCCTTTTTAAGCACTGAGAGGAAGAGTTAAAACAAAATGTAATTTTTTATGTACATCTGTATGTATACCTGTAGCATTAACCCTTAGATAATAACATCTTCATAGAGAGGGATGAGTCTGGATTAATTTTACAAACGGAATTTTGGCACAAAGGTGATGTAGCTTCTTCTCTTCCTTTTTACACAGGTTTTTGTTCATTTGTTTGTTTTTTGTGCATGTAGTTTTTTAGGTTTTGGTATATACATATTTTCTCCTTTTCTACACATCTCATTTCTGAGTTTTACTTAATGTGGTAAGTTGTGTATTTTTTTGTCCTATGGCATTCAAAGATGATAACACTTTTAAATCTCACTTACCACAACTTCTCTTTAACTTTGAACTTACATAGCAGTGAATTCCACATAGTGAACTAGAATTTTGTAATATGTCTGGCAATGCTTCCTCTTAGAAAGGTTTTAGGAACTTTGCACTCTTTCATGCCTTGTGTTATAGCTGTGTGAAACTTTGCCATAGTTTAGCTGTTGAAGCTATAATTTCCTGAGGCTTGGTTAGGAATACAGGTTTTTACCCAGCTGTGGGACTGAAAATGAAGAGGGAGTTTATTGTATGCTTCATTATTTGTTAACCCTGGAAAGCTAAAAGCAAAAGCATACACATTTAGGAAATAGATAAAACTCAGTATAAATTAACTATTGTCTCAGTTCCCCACTTGTTCTTTTTTTTTTTTTTTTTTTTTAATCAACAAGCATTTGTTGATTATTGGAATAGTCATTTCTGGCAGATTTCATTACATTTTCTTTGCCTTCTTCCACTAATGTCAGTAACATAATTTATTTCAAGACATTTCTTTATTTTTAACTTGACTGTCACCTTGTATAGCAAAGCGTATTTAAACCTGCAACCTGCTGTTCAAGGTTTAGTTTCCTGGAAATGGTATTTCATGACATACTGGGACACTTATTATGGCTTGACCCATCTCTAAACTCTTAATAATATTCTGTTGGAAATCTGTATCTTAAAAGTCACGGTATTACAGGTGCCTCGTTTTGATAATGGCATAGAGTTTTGGGGATTTAGGGAAAATTGCAAGTGAATGCAATCTGGGGAATGGTTTCCCTTTGGGAAAAAAAGGGAAGGCAGAGATCCCATTGGCAGACATCAGAACGCACTTCTAATTGATTTGCCATTCTTCCCCAGAACTGTGAGATAGGCACAGTGTTCTGACCTGTGTTTTGTGAAGCCTCTGGAATTATTTATAAGTGGCACTACTTTGGCATTAAATCAGCAGAATTTTGCATGAAGTTGATACAGCTGTTGCAGTGCAATATCAAAGCATTTTAACTTGGCTCTTTTCTCCACTGGATAACTGAATTTTCCTTTCCTTTTCTTTAAACTGCAGGCAAATATTATTGCTTCTTCTCTCAGCAATCTCTGAAAATACTTCCATCTTTTTTTTGGGGGGGGGGAAATGAGGCAGGTCTGTTTTCTCATCTGTCCTACAGGCTATCAGTCAATCTTTGTAGAAAACAAGAAGCTCTGAGTTGAGGCACATGAATACTGGAGGACTGTTTTGTCTTGGGGAGTTATACACATAGTAGTTAAAGAGCAGAACATTTTCTTTGAGTATTGAATCAGAATTCTCCCAGGGGTGACCTGAAAAGAAGCTACAATGTCAGTTTACTCATACTATATACATTTGTAGAGAATATACCTCCTCTAGTATCTTCTTATCTCTTGGAGATATAAAACAGAAGAACCTGTGTGACTTCTTATTCATGGGGTTCCACATTGACCTCTTAAGCAATGGCATTTTAAACAAGGCATCTTAAGCCACCTCCAGTATGAGACCTGTTTGTTCATGCACAGAGAGATAAGACCACATAGCAGAAGAGATTTATTTATAAGCATATTACAAAGAATGTGTGTTGTTTTTTTTCCCCCTGCTTGAAGATGTAGTAGATCAGAAAGATGTGAAAGAAGTGAAGAAAATATCAGGCACTGCTTACAAAAGTTGGCATATCTTTGAATAAGCAGGACAAAAATTGTATTCCTAGCACAAAATCTCCTGGTACTTCTGCCTGTTCATAATCTTTCATAAGATCCTGCTTCAAGGGTGGGCAGGCATTGGAACAGGCTGGCCAAGGAAGTGGTGGAGTCCCTATCTCTGCAGATATTTAACTCAGAATGTGGCACTTAAGGACATGGTTCAGTGGTGAGCTTATAGTGTTAGGTGATGATGGTTGGTCTTGATGATCTTATGAATCTTTTGCAACCTACGTGGTTCTATGATTCTGTAATTCCTAACCACTCAACTCTAAGACTCAAATGCTATGTCTGGATGTATAGAGGAATGTGGGAGAGCTGTGACATCCCATGGCTCTGATCAAAATAACAAGAAAACGTTACTGAGCTTTTACTCTTTGAAACAAAATGACTGCACAGGGAATATCTCTTGGAGGAATGTAAAGTCTGACTTGCAGCTCTGACTAGGCAGTTGTTTGTTTTACTGCCATCAGCTTCATTTCAAAAACCAAGGGCAACATTATAAATGATTGAAGCACACATTTTTCTCCTCTATTTTTCAGGAAAGAAGATACCTCTTCACTAAATTCTTTTGTATTGAATGTTAAAATAGAGGAAGTGAAAAAAAAACAAAATGAAATTCTGTATATGAGATACACTGAAAGATTTATATTATTTTCAAAGCTCCTGAGATTTGAATGTTTATGTTCACCACCATTTAAGAGTTGAAAGATGTTTAGACTGAAGATGGCACAACAATAGTTTTCACATATTTGAAGACTGCAGCTAAGGGGAAAGTGATAAACTTGTTATTGCTGGGTAAGAAAAGAAACAGACTGGATTTGCAGAGAAGCAGACTGAGCGTAGACATTGGCACAAACTAAAGATAAGAAGAACGAAGCACTGCCAGAGACCAGACCAGACCCAAAGTATCTAGTCTACTTCCTATTTCCTCTGGATGTACACAGATAAGAGCTAACATTCTCTGCTGATGTGTTTGTTTGTTTGTTTGTTTGTTTGTTTGTTTGTTTTGAGTTGTATGAATGAAGCACACTGTGGACGTTTCTGTAGAAATGGATTTTGGCCTCAAACCCCTTGTCAGTCCCACTTACTGGGATTTTGGCAAGCACTCTAAGTGCTTTCCATAACAAAGGCTTCTGCAATCAGATTGCAAAAGGTGGCAACGTGACAGGAAGAAATCTAGGTAATTGTGCATACTGTGGGTTCTGTGCCCTTCAATTCCATGTGACAGCTGATCTTCAAAGCTATGACTATCTCTGATGCAAGCTAGCTGTTGATTTTGGTATTGTCAGGTTTCTGGAATAAAAGACATTTAGCTTTAGTCAGAAAATGGCATAAGTTGTCTATGGAGTGAGCTGTAGTATTCTGGAGAAATTATTTTTCGAGTTAAAGCCCTCAACTGGTTTGCAAGACACCTGGCTGCATTTTAAGACCACACTTAATTTCCTGCATCATTTCCTACATGGCTGACATATATTTAAAAATCACGGTGCAATGCAGAGATAACAAGTTAGCACTGATAAAACTGCATGCCAGAAACTGACCTCTGTGCTTGCATCCCTGTGCTTGCACCGCTAACACAGAGCTCATTGGAGCTGCCTGTGGAGCCAAATGAATGAGCTGTGTCAGGGTTCTAGGATACTATGACTGAAATCCTCCAGGACTAGCCCTGCTAGCTTGCCATTGCTGCAGTTTCAGTATAGGTATACCCTTTTCAGACTATCCAGAAGTAAGATCTGTTGAGATACTTCATTTGTTTAATGGAAGCAATAGAAAACATGCCTGCTCCATCTGCCAGTTCTTTGCCCTAATCATGTATTACTTGCATTTTAATCCAATATTAAGCTTTTCTATAATCATTGCTTTTTAAACTGATGACTTTTCTGAACAGGATCTTTACAGTAGTATTCAGAAAACAATCTTTCACATAGATGTCCTGAGCATTATTTGATCACTAGTTCTGATCATACAGAAACGTGTCCTCAAAGTGCACTGCTGCATGATTAAAGGCTGTTATTTGATTTTTATATCACTTTTTTTTTTTTTAATTTTGGTTTTAGATCATTTTAATTTTTGTGGCTGACTATTACCAGGCAATGCTGAATTTTAAACTAGATTGCACTGTCTGATGCTGCTCTTCACTGCCAAGATCTTTCTACAGGGAGAACAATTTCTGCTTTTGCTCATATGGGTAACACTCCTATCAGTGCTATGTATAAGACAGTGCTGTTGCAGGTGCCATTGAATTGGTTTGATAAAAATGTCACATTTTAAATCCCCCGCATGTTTCTTCTGCAAATGAAAACCAGAGTTAGTATGAAAATGTTCAGCATAAAAACAGTGGTATTGGGTAAGGTCAGATGTTTCAACTGTCTTGTGAAAACAAACAACTTTTCCATCTTTAAATGCTGATCCTAATTCTCTTCCCAGTTCAGGGGTTGTGTGTGAATCCACAGATGTGAGATACGTGGTCCTAAAAGTGCACTTTTATTCTTATCTCTGCTTCCTTAATGCATAAACATTTCTCTACCTCCCTAGAAATGCAGGTTTCAAAGCCAGACAATAGCGTGTAGGTAGTGGAGTTCAAATCTGCAATACCACTTACACACAGATAATCACAGTCTGCTGCCTGTACCTTAGAAAGGGGGAAACTGCTTTGGAATCCAACCACACAGTCTTCAGGCTGGTATGCAGCTCAGCTTTTGGCTTCTTTCCAGCAGTACTGCCTAGAAAGCAACACACAGAGGTTTAAGCAGAGCCACACAACTTTTAGTCCCTGTGAGCTACAGACTGAGATTTTCCTGTGGCAAAGAGCTGTCAGATGAGAGCTGGGAGAGCTGAGGGCAGAGGGAGCTCAGGTTTTGTTCAGAAGGAAAGGGGCAACAGCTCCTCACACAGGATCACACACATTGCTGCTAGGAGACATCTGCACATGCAGTCTGTATGCACGAATGTGCAGCTGGAGAGCATGCTTTTTCAGTGCTCTTTTCACCGGAAGCTCAAGCTGGCTTATTTCTTCATATAGTCAAGGATCAGGGTAAATCATAGCCTGAATAGGGTGAATCATAGCCAGGAATATTGATTCCTGAAAAGAAAAAAGAAGTTGACTGATCCTCAGGATCAGGAAAAAAAAAAAAAAAGATTCCTCTAAGTGAGCACAGTCCTGCTGCATTAAGAAATGTCAGTTACATCAGTAGTGTGAAAGTACCCCAACAACTGTGACATATCCCACCGTGAAGCTCTGGGGAAACTGTAACATCTAGAACTCGGTGGAGATGGGCAGCAAAAGAAATGGCTGCTGTGATAGCCAGAGGTTTCAGCAAAGGAAAGGTCCCTTCAAAACAGCTGTTCTTCATAACTTTCAAATGAATGGTGAAGAGTGCATGTGGGGTAGACTGTCTTGGTGAAATGGAAATCACAGCAGTTGTTTAACAAATAATCAGGTTCCCATAGCTTCATTGTCAGAGGAAGAATTCCAGTTAAATGGGAAAAAAATGTGAGTATGGATATCTATAAACCATTTGTTTCTCTGTGCAAAGTGGGAGTGAAGGGTCTAAATGTCATGTGGGATCTGCTATAAAATTGCTGCATAGAGGGAGTTTGTGCAGCGCTTGAGACCTGTTCCTTTTCATACCAGTCAGTGAATCACTAACAGAAACTAGATGAGTGAAGCTCCTGAATCATTCACTTT